GCAGATATCTCGTCGAATAAAAATGTTTTCTATACAAGAACTTTATTTGAATCGTTCGGTATGTATGGCAAGTATATCCTACAGTGGTTCGATATCGGCGGCTCCGACATATGAACAGCTTTTTGTGGAAAAAAAACGTATGCAAAATTTCAGATCGATTTCTCAAAAACTAAGGTATAAAAAAGGCAGACATACAAACTGAAAAACTGAACGATCGGAATCTATTGCTTGTACCGAAAACTTTTTCATTTGACAAGACATCTTCACGAAATTTGGCATGGGTTATTACTTTTTATTTATTTATTTGTGAAGGTTATTATAGCCGAAAAAAACTTATTTTGATTAGTTTATATTTCTAGTACTCTGGGGATTGTTATTGAGCGATATGCTATTTTTGTTCTCCCAACTGTGCATAGATATACCACAACTCGCCAACTTATAAGCTGATAGCTAACTGAAAAATAGTGCAAATAAAAACAACAAATATTAAAAGTTTTATCAAACTAAAGTAAAGACGTAGACGCGCGGTGAGCTACGACTTGCAGACAAAGACAGCAGTTGTACTACAGTGTGGACAAACAATTGCAAGCCAACGAGGCAAAGGCCAAGCAAAGAGTACAAAAACGACGATAATGAGACTAATGATAATGACGACATACATAAAAGTGTTGCTGATGTTGACAATGACGCTGGCGATTGAGCGCTGTGATAGTTGTAACGATGCGATTGTGCCAGCGGCCTCAGGAAGTGCACGTCAAAGTGATGACGAATTATACGCTATACATAAATATTTATTTTTATATGAATACGAGTACGAGTATAATGTGCAAACGGGTATATTCTTCGGATATCAGTGTGTGTCGACGACAAATATGACGATAAACAACATTGAAAACTTCGTACAATAGGCGACAACGCACGGATTTATTGATGTCTACACACATTACATATTGACACTACATATTATGAGCGAACAATAAAGTTTTTCATTGGATTGGGTAAGGACGTTTGTATGTGTGGTATTAAAGTCTTATACGCAACTACGCTTATGGCCACTAACTGAGCTGAGTATTTATGCCATGCGCGTCTGGTTATTGTGGAAGAACCTTTTATGTCGTCGTAGAAATCAACATACAAAGCTACTCGTATATGAGTAGGTGAGTGCAGCAAAGTGTTGTGGTGGTGTGATAGAGGTAGCAAGGAAGAAGTTATAAATACTGATATGCTAGCTGGGAAGCTATCTTGCTTCAGTGCCTACATGGTGCTGTGACGATCCCACTGATTTGCATGCAAAGCACAAACATTTTCCCGGCAAACTGACAAACGTAGATTTAACTTGCTGAATCTGAGGGGAAGTCGCCTGAAGTAATCACATTTACTCGATTCTATTTTCTTTTTATATGCGCGTTTTTAATAGTAGAGCGAAAATAAATACAAATATAAATAAGTAAATAAATATTTAAGTGTGTGCGTCTCTACACATATACATACATATATGTACACTAAAGTATGAATTTTATTTTTAAATGATTGCAAGCGGAAATAGGCAAGCAGCAACAAAACGTCTTCCGAATTTAATATATATATGTATATATATATATGTATATATATATATATGTATATATATATGTATATATATATATATATGTATACGGATACATAATTTGAAAGCAATAATTTAGGAAGGGCTAAGTGCAACTAAAACAAGAAAAAACCACTGCATCTATACCGAATTTCGCGAAGATAGCTTATCAAATAAAAGAGTTTTTCATAAAAGAACTTGTATTTGAAAGATCAGCTTGTATGGCAGCTATATGCTACAGTGTTCCGATTCTGAACAATTTCTTTGAATATTGCAACGCTGCCTCGGACAATAATCTATGCCAAATTTCGGGAGGATACCTTGCCAAATAAAATAGTGTTTTTAAACAGGGACTTGTGTTTGATCCTTCAGTATCTATGGCAGTTATATGTTACAGTGGTCCGATATCGGCGGATCTGACAAGTGAATATCTCCTTGGTGAGAAAAGAACGCATGCAAAACTTCAGATCGATATCCCAATAACTTGTATGAACATACTTACATATACTTTGTTAAGGGGATATTCTGGTTTAGAAATTTAAAAAAATTGATTTTTTTTTGTGCATATTTTTGTAATATAACCCTTAAAGAATATGTCCCTAAAAAGATTTTTGGAAATTTAAATTATTTTCGGAGTTACAACTCATTTTGTGATGCGCCGAAAAAAGTGACTGGGAGCTCGGCGCGAGCGTAAAGTCGTTTTTATGTGAACTACTTTTTTTTGAAACGGTGTGCATGATATCTCAAATTCTACTCAATCGATTTACTTGAAATTTTATACAGAGCTTCTTTACACATTATGCTATCGCACTACTTTTAAATATTCCGAAAGGCAAAATAACAGGGGCGAAACATATTTTTCAAACAGCCGCCATTTTGTGAAAAAGAAATTTGCAAAATCCTCACGTCTCATCCTTGTTGTTGTTGTAGCGGCAGACATCTGCCGGGTTGACAGTGCTTGGCCGGATAAAAATCCGGGTCCGTTTCGGTTAGGTGGACCCGACTAAACGGGGCATCTCATCCTCTTTAAGGATCACTCAATAATTTCCATTTCTGGTTACTGGGAGTCCTGATATCCTGCACACCAGTACACGCCATTTTTTATCAATCCCCACTTTGCCGGCCTGGAATTTTTTTTTTTATTATTATAAATAATTTGTACTCTTTAAATATATATAAAAAAAATCCATAAAAAATGTATGGTAAAAAAAATCTTGTTTTTTTTTAAATCGGGTCCGAAAAAGAGCCTAAAATTCGGGCTTTTAAGCCAGAATACCCCTTTTTCTCCAAAGGCTCTTAATTTCTAACCGTGACAGATTCTTCTACTGAACGAAAACGACACAGCTCCTCTGAAATATTTTATTTAACGACTACAAATAACACATAAGAATTATAATTTTTTACCTTACTCAAAGTTAAGATGCCAACCCTTCAATTACAAGCAGACCATATTCCAAGGGGGAAGATTTTAAGAAAGTACGAGTAGTGAATAAAAAACAATATAAATATAAGCAAAGCTTTCCAAATACTTGTATACTGCCAAAAAGTGTTGAAAGAATACGCTAGGGGAGCAAATACAAAAAAAAAAATAAATAAAATACAAGTACCCAATATATAAATATAAGGTTTAGGGGTTAAGAAGAGCTAAAATTAGATAGCAATGGAAGACGAATGCATAAAGTTAATATCCTAATGTCTGCGTTGAAAATCAACCACCACCTCGTAAAGGTCGAGACCAAAAAATATTCAACATATATAAGTTTTTTGTTATACAATTATATAAATATGCTAACATACACACCAACATGTTTATCTATGTCGCTACCTATGTAAGGAAGTGTATACCTTTCCAAAGTGTTCCAAAAAACCCAATAAAGTTATATGACCACCAGCTTGTGCCATCTAGGCCACCGAAATATTAATTTTTTTTGTTGTTGTTGTAATAAAAACTTTTTGAATTCTTAAGCAAGTGTGCGCTCATAGACATGCCAAATATGGCTGCAACTGACAAATTTTTCAAACTAAGCGTAGAATTATGGCAGGCGAAAACGGCAGATTTTGTTATAGCATAAGCAACATAGAAAACATTTTTGGGAGCGCGATATTGTTAACAACATTTAAGCAAATTTATGTGTGTACATATGTATGACAAGTGAAAAAATTAATATTATAATATAAAAATAGATTCTCATAATTATACCCCATATATGTATGCATGTACATACGTATATATATATAACTCAGATGGTGTTTAATTACATTAATGTTGAGTCCTTTATATTAAAGTATTTTCGACATTTATTGAAATTTTTGTCAATTAAAATATATGACCCCTAAATAGTTAGGCTCAAAAACTGACAACAAAATAATAAAGTATAAAAAACAACGCCCACAACATCCTCTTAAAAGCGACAGGACAAAATATATACAAAGCAATGCATAATTACATTACAATTTGCTTTATAGCCGGCAAGTTGGCAAACAAACAAATTAAAATGGCGTGACCCCAGTAGTGCGCACGTCCCAACATCACCAACAACCTACAAAGCACTCAGTGCCGTTAGCAAAACATGCACTGCACCATTTCGGGTTCATTTAAAATATCAAGTGCAATGGGCAATAACAACAAATACGAATAGTGTAAGCTACAAAAAGTGCCACGTTCAACGTCCAATGTTTTCAACCTCCTTGCAGTCCTGCACGCAATAGTGCGGTGTAAAGCAAATATGCAGAGGGGTAGACGTGTAAGTAACTTTGTGTATGTATAGTTTTTAATTTCATTTTCAAGCAAGAAAGAGAAAATGCAATAAAATCGATTGTCCTTGAGGGAGAAGAACACGGCTCGCAACGGACAGCTGGTGGTTGGTAGCCAACGAACGTGGAACGCATTGCAAGCAGTATATTCGTGTGCGAATCAAGTACGGAAGGCGAACCAGCTGACATGAAAATATGTGGCTACGTATATGTGTATGTATGTGTATACTCTATAAAATTTATTGATTTTTCAATGTGCTAGGAAAATTTATCTTCAAAAAATACAGAAACTTTCAAAATTAAATTGAACACATATTCTATTGTAAACTAATATATAACATAAACTTTGTACTCAACTATAAACATAAAAGCTTCTTAACAATAACATTTATTTGTAATTGCATCGCCTGACTGAATCAGCCGCACCCAAACTGTCTGCTGCATGCTACCACCAGGTATACTTTGCATGCTACAGGCATTTGTCGCGTATGGCGAATATACCACAAAACTTTCAGGTTGTCGTTCATCCAGCGACAAGCACATTATTTATGTTTATAGATCTTACAAGTTTCATATGCATCCATAATCAACAAATTCTTAACCGCACCTCTAAAGTCTACTCCTTTAAAATTTATATTTGCGTTAAGACAAATTATGCACTAACCTGCCATCACCGTATCGGTGAGATTATATTTGGTGCCAGTTTTTGGAAAGTCTTTCAGCTTGCGATTAGTTAGTATTAGCTCGCCGCTTAGGTGTGCCTCCTCGAGGATGCGTTCCAGTGAACGCGCAAGCTGCGAATGTGCCATACTGCCCATGCTGGCACTTAGTCCACTAATGCTTCCGCTGGTGCTGTGAAGGCGATTATAGACAGCCGCTGTTGCAGCCATCCTAGTTTAGTAGGCGTGGTTAAAAAAACGTATTAATGCTTTTTATTTCACTTTTATCTTATTTATGTATACTTCTTAATTTAGAACACAATTCAATTTTTTACATTCACTTATGGCATTCTTTTTCTACTATATTTCACAATTACAAATTGCCAATTAAACTAAGCATACAAAGCATTATGTTAGAATTTTCTCACACCTTTCTTTTTCACACAATCACACACTACTTCCCAAGATTTTCCTGTTGTGAAAATCCGACGATTTTCCGCGAACACTAATAATTTGAATCGAAATTCTAGCAACGAATGAAGCAGTTGAAAAACCGACGTAAATAATAAACAGCAAACTAGCGAAGCCAACCATTTGTTTACAGCGCGTTGCCAATTGGGTCTACGAATAAGGAAATATAGGTAAGTGGGGAGAATGAATTTTTTGTTGGCAGAATCAGAGCAGAGAACGTATATCATATACGTTCTCTGGCAGAATGTGAAACGCTGGTTTAATAAAATAAAATTTTATAAGAGTTAAATTAATATAAACTATTATTTGCTGGATCTGAAAAGTTTGTAACAATTGGGTTTCTAATCATTAACTACTACCAGAAAATGTAGATTGTATAACCAGAGAATGAACGACATTCTCTGCTACTACTTTACGAAAATTATTTGTTGTTTTGCACTGTGGCAGCATTTATTTATACTGACGTGTTGCGGCTGTCAAAAGCAACTGATGGGAGATGGTATTTTGATCTCTCATTAAACATTGGACGCTGTTCAAGATTTTTATAAAGTTCTATAATTCACATTTGTAAATACAATAATTATGTTCGGTTTACTGTGTGAATAAAATGATTGGTAGGTAAAGACAGAACGAGCCTACAAATTATTCAAGGACAAACCGGTGAGTGTTAACAAAATCCAAAATAGTTATACTTTATTTATCATTATTCTTTGCAGGTTATGTTCTTGCGCTTCCCAATACTCTCACCTGAAAATTAGAGATTGTTCATTCCAAATTACTACCGCCTGTTGATAGAAATAATCAAAGAAAGTGTGCCGGCATGTTTGACTATTTGTACCAGCTGATGTGGCTTGTATTGCATATACTTGTCAACGTATATGAAACATTACATTTCCTTTTTTTGCGGTTTCAAGCTACATTACTTTGGTCATATGACCTGCAATACAATAGTACGACGATAACCCGCCGCGACCGCGCATTTCTACAACGCTGTAAAGCTGAACTAACCAAATTGCCTCGACATTTAAACATAATCATTGGTACTGATCCACTTGCGAGAGTGAATGAATCAGTTGTTGCACGCATTTTATTATATGCGCAAATAATTGGTATTGACTGTGTCAGTTTATATGATGTTCGTAGTGAATTAGATGGACATATTTTAAAAGAAAAGTTGTGCAAATCAAGCAAATCTTATTGGAACGAATTGCAGCATAACCACTTCGAATGGGGATTGGACGTGTATACACCGGAGACAAAGGATCTAAAAACAAATGGTTGCATGGAGAATGGTGTGCATAGTGATAATGGCAGTGTATATAATGGGGATGTATATCAAAAGAAAGCTCCGGTATATTTAAAAGTGAGTTGATATTATGTATGCGCTAAAGCTAAAGCGAAGTAGAAGTTGACTAGTGTTATATGCGTCTTATCAGTAAAAAGCCAACACTATGTTATGAATTTGAAATAGCACACCTTATCGCTATTTTATAAACGAAAAATTGTATAGACAATCGATTTGATAATGCGTGGGTCGTAGTGCCACACTGCATTTCAATTTCAATTTTAGTTTTAGTTTTTTTTTTTATTTTTAAATTAAGCCATATTTTTTCGTATTATTGCAGATTTATAACATCAGCGGCGTAGACAACCAATCTCTGATAGCAAAGATCTGTCGTGAACTATTTCAACAACGCGAAAGCTCCAAGGTGCAAAATCTACTAGCCGATCGCAAACAACTAGAACAACACATTAGTGATGAATTGGCTAAGCATATACAATGGAATTGTGTTGATCCTGAATTGAGCATAATATTCAACAGAGACATGTGCACTTTTGGTATGCTGCCTTGGCAGACGCGATTCACCGAATTCCACACCTTTGAGACTGGTCGCTATGTGAACGTAGAAAGTTTTATTAAATTGCTATATAAATATTCAAAATGTGAACAGCGTTGGGGGAAATAGGTATTTAAAATAGGGAAACAACTGTGCAAGGGCTTTAACTGGGACGGGGGTAAATCAATTATAAAACGTATAGAAAAAATGTGTGCAATATTTCAATAACAGTATGAAATGCTTATTCTAATTTGATTTGATTGTGCACACGTTTTCACATTATACAAAGAATATTTAGTATTTATATAAATTAAATTTTAATACATACAGTTTATTCTTCTGTTTATGAGCTAAGTTAAATGTCTAGAAACAAATTGAATCACATTTTTGTCAAGGTGCAAAAAAAATCCTTCGAAATAGAATTATGTATTTTTATGGAAAAGAAATGGATTACAATGCCAATATGTATTTGTAAAATACATGTGAATGTAATATTTAAAGATGTCTTTGATTTGGTAGAATTAATGGACTTTAACGATCGAACGGGTACATTTTGTTTTTAACGGGCAACAACCTACATTCAAGAAGGCTAAAATTGTATCGTTAAAAAATTCTAACTTTTTAATTTTCATAGGGTCATGAAAATAGTAAAAGGCTTTTTTGGGATATATTTCTTTGCAAAATAAGAACAACAAACGATTTTTTCTAGTTTTTGTTTTTTTGCTTCAATATTTGTTTTCGCTAGTCCTACCCTCAGAGAACGTATATTATAATAAAAAAATTATATTGTAATATATTTACATTATCTGCTACCTTACACCAGAGAATGTTAATGAACAATGTCATCAACATTCTCTGCTTACACATTTCCCTAACGTTCTGTAATCATGCTTAAATTAAATGTTAGATTTGTTTTAAACTGCATTATCGAGATATGTACAATGCTTCAAAGTAGTTGATATAACAGTTTGAAAGCTAATGTAAACAATTTCCCCAAATTGTTCTATACGTCTCAATATTTATATTTTATGTATATATAAATACTTTTAAATTGCGTCACTCCCAGTAACGACTATATCCGATAATATAAATATATTATTAAATTAAGCTATTCGAATTGCTTCGAAATAATTTTAACTTCAAAAATTTTTCGACGCCATCCCCTTCTTTTCTTGCAATATTTTGATGATCTTACTTAGCTGTTCTAGCCAACCGATGAAAGCTTGTTGCATGTCGGCAAATTCTTGAGGCATCAAAGGTAATTTGTTTGACAAATAATTTTGGTTATCACTCATATCCATTATACTTTCTTTCATACCCTCCATTTTATTGGTCATAGCAGCTAAGCTTTGCAAAATACTGTTGACGAAAATTTCATTCCGCTCTCGCATTAACCGTAGTAAATCTCTGCTATCGTTTATCTCGCCATTCGTAATGGAAATTTGACGCCATAAATAACTAATTTCATTTTTAATGGTGGAGCTGAGACTTGTCACCACTTCAAGTTGAATGCTTGTCATGTTTTTCTGGACTGTGTCGAAATGTGTCTTCAGAAAATCAAGCAATTGCGCTGGCTGTTTATGAGTTACTATACTATCCATATCTTGTGTGAGTGGCTTTGAAAAGCTTTGGCACTTGCTTAAATTTTCAAAGCTATCATTTACCTTATTGTAACTGCTAATCATTTCGCTATGGAATTGATGCACTGAAATTTCGTGGATGTTGAGCCTTTTCAAAATTTCCGCAGCATCGGAATGTACACTCTGCTCGACTTCTTGAAGGCGTAACGTGGTTTCAGTTTGTGCTAAAAACAGTAAATAAATAAAGGTTGATTAAATATATTTAAGTTTAATTTATTCTTATTTTATACCCTGCACAGGGTATATTAAGTTGGCACGCAGAAGGAGATGTCGGACACACTACAACATATATATATGTGTATATAAATGATCAGCGTGACGAGCTGATCTCACTAAGAAGCTGATCATTTGTCGGAAGCGCCGATATTGGGCAACTACTTATAACATGTAGCTGTCATACAAACTCAAGTTCTTATATGGAAAACTTTATTATTTGACAAGATATTCGGCATATATTATATATCCAAAGGCATCGCTATAATCATATTGTTCAGTTTGGACCACTGCAGCATATAGCATACATACAAACTGACCGATAAAAATCGTGATACATTTTTTTTTAACACTTTTATGCAATAAACAATGCACCTATAGAGGGTATTATAGCTTCGGTGCAACCGAAGTTAACGTTTTTTCATGTTTAGCTTACATTTTTGTACCATATTCTGCACATTGGTATTCTCATTATAAAGAAGGTTGTATGTATTATTAGCCAACTCTTGTAAAAATTCCTTATCTGCGTTCGTGAGACCGTCTTGTGGTTTAGGTTGCGCACAAAGCCGTTGAATATGTTGTAATAGGTTGCTATCGGGCGGCAGCTGTTGCGCGGTTGGATTGCTACTGTTAGACACTTCATAAGATTTCAGCATATCGTTTAAGGTAATGTGTGGCAATAATATTTGTTCAGGATATGGATTACTACTGTAAGACCCTTGACTTGGTTTTATCATATCATTGGAGTTATCTAACAATTTCTCTACATTCAAAGACAATTTCGTCAATTTGTCGAGTAGTTGTTGATTTTTTTTGTCTTGTTCCGTAAAGAATTGTTCAATGCGGCTGAAAAATCTTTCTTGCTATATAGTTGAGTGTATAGGTAAGTAAAAATTAAGTTAATACACCAATGCAGAAGCTTTTAAAAATGGTAAAAAGAATAAAAAAAATCAAAGTAGGTTGAAATCCATTTGGAAAAAGAAAATAAAATAAGAAAAACTAAAAGAAAAATCGATTTTTTTATTTCATCCTCTTGTGATTTCGTAGTATCAGCTATATAAAAAAGCCAACAAAAAAAAAATTGTAAAAGATAGAGAGAAAAAACGAACAAGTGTTTTATTTTAATTTGTCACATAAATTGGAAGTTGTATGAGAAAAGTGTAAATCCAAAAGTTGTAGATCTTTTCATTACCTACACACTACTTTGTCATATAACATTTTTCTGTAGCACCCGTAGTTTTGTCGTAAACCGTTTTTAACCTTTAAAAAAGACACCACGCCCCTTTCCTTTCTCTCACCTCACCTCAGATCGCCTGTAAATTATTTTTCCTTTCGTTTTTATTATTTGATCTTTCTTTTGCATTGGGTTTCATCCTACCATGATTTTTTTTTTTTGCTTTCAAAAATGATCTATTTTGGTCTATTAATAATACAAATATTGAGATTACGCTTTCTTACCACTATTAACGAATGTTCAATTGAGCTAATACGCTCATCGAAATGTGACTGTGAATATAGTCGTTCTTGCCCTCTTTGTAAAGACAATAAAGATTTCTTAATTAATTCACCAAGCCCTCTTTCGCGATGTTCGTGACGCTCCAATTTATTATCTAATTGGTTGTAGGAATAAATTAGTGAACGTATGCTTTCGCTTATGTTATCTTGGCTAAAATTTAAACAGTTTAAATAGAACATAATATAATATATATATTCATACGATTACATATAAAGAGTTATACATACGTTACTTGAGCCGGCGACAGTTTCAAAAATCCCAAGCCAATCAGGCAGATTAATAGCAAACGCATCAGTTGGCACATTGTTGCAGTTATTTGAATGTCCTTCCGCAAGTTTTTCCAAATAGATCGAGCTAGTAATAAATTAAAATTTGCTAGTCCAAATAATTTGGCTTAATTAACAGTAAGACTTTTTTAATTAATTCATTACTGAAGAGTAATTATGAAAAGTGTATAATTACTTCAGTCGTATCCAAAATATACTTATATTATTTCTGTGAACCCGAAAACACTTTACTTGCCGTGCCTGAAGTCCGCTTACCAACTTTTTTGTTGAATTGATAAGCGCTGTTGCGTGGATGTTTATTCCGTAGCAGTTATATGCAAATTAAATTTAGGTAATCATTTAAAAACTATATTGCTTCTCTTACTGCGCTGAAATTTCTGTAAGTATACATATGTATGCCTATCTCCGTGTTGCACTTACAATCAAAACATTTCTCAGTAATTCAATGCTTATCTTATTGCAAAAATCATTAACGTATATTATAATATTTTTTTTAATTTTATTGCTTACTTAGCAGTGTCTAATCACCAAAATAGCTCAAATGCCTTACCAGAACGAGCTTCAACATGCGAATGGCTTTTAAGTTTAACAGAGAATAGGTTTTAAGACGAAAGCCGATCGTTTAATGTAAAACACTGCGTGCATCAATATCTGGACTGCCTTAGTTCTTAGCGTTTCACGGTCGTGTTTGGGATTGAAGTGGTCGTAAGTGACCCAATTTTTACAGATTACTGAATCCATCTATTGTAAAATAATGCACTTTTTTCGCTAGATCTTATATTTAAATTAAATATATGTTTAACAAGAAAGGTTAAGTTGTTACTGGCGAATTTGGTGTGCTTTTCTGCTATTTGTATCATTTCAAAACAATACTTATAATAAAACTTGTTTGAACTGCCTTACCGACGTGAAGCAAAAGGATTCATTTCCGGTATATCGCGACTACCCGAAACTCCAATAAATAATTTCCATAGAAATTAACACAAACGTTGCCATTTATAATATTAACCCTTCGAGTAAGAAAAGAATGAAAGTAGCACGTTCACAATAGTCAACTAAAAGGAAACTTTAACAGAAATCTCTAAAATTTTACTCACAGTTCACTTGCTGGATACTTTGATCTATATTTTACAGATTTTTCGAATTATTAGTGGTGATTCCTATAAAGCTGTTTTTAAAAACTGAAATAAATTGAAAAGTACCTTACGCGTTGGGATTGTCACGACCACAACATTATGATGTTAATCGAAAAATTTAAAAGTGCTATATAACTAAGCCACAAATTAAGCTACAAAGTAAAAAAAATTGGGAGGGGCATCTGTCTCCGCTTTCTAATTGGTTTAATGTGCAAATCTCACTAACTACTTAATCTATCCACCGATCTTAGTAGGGACATTTCCTTGTAGCATTTCATGATACGGTATGAAATTTGACGTATTCGATACCTACAAGGGTTAGAAACTACTAAATATGCGATAAGCATTAAATTTTGTCGAAAAGACAGTATTGTAGGATTGCATTCAAATCAGTATAATAAAGGGACAGTGGGGCGGTGCGGCGCCCACTTTTTATACCCTGAACAGGGTATATTAAGTTTGCCACGAAGTTTGTGACACCCTATGGAATATATACATAAATGATCACCGTGACGAGTTGAGTTGATTTAGCCACGTCCGCCTGTCTGTCCGTCTTTCCGTCTGTCTGTATATATACTAAATAGTCCCTCAGTTTTTAAACTATCGATCTGAGATTTTGCACCTGTCCTTTTCTCACTAAGAAGCTGCTCATTTGTCTGCATGCACTTGCATGGAAAACGCTTTCATTTGGCAAGATATCTTCACGCAATTTAGCATTAATTATTATTTAAGTCAATAATTCAATATCCGAAGAAATTGTATAGATCGGATGACTATTGCATATAGCAGCCATATTAACTGAACGATTAGAGTAAAGTGCTTGCATCGAAAACTTTTTCATTTGACGAGGAAACTTTACAAAATGCGGCATGAGTTATTGTCTAAAGCAACAATGTAACATCCACAGAAATTGTTCAGATCAGATCACTTTATCATATAGCTGCCATACAAATTTAACGATCGGAATCAAGTTTTGTGAAGGGTATTATAGCTTCGGTGCAACCGAAGTTAACAATTTTTCTTGTTAAAAAAAATGTTTAACCGCAATCGCCTCCACCTCAGCAAGTCTTCATGTCTACATCGCAAATAACACAATTTTAAATTATATATGGTTCTTTTACAATACAATATATAAATCAAGTAATTATCGAAATAAAACTTTAGTGTCTTCGAGGTGTGGCATCCCTTATCTAAGAGTGTTCGAAATCGAACTATTAACTCTTCGCCTCCCCAGTTACCGAATATGAAGTACTGAGTCCGCAGATATGGTTAATGTGATACCGAAAATATCGGTTAATTATTTGTAAGATATCCTAATAAAATGAAAAAGGCAAATTTTCCTGATATTAACATGGCCTGGTACTAAAACGGAGTAAAATCGGTTCATTACTTCCCCTAACACCCATATACTTAATATAATAAGGATTTTTAAACTTCCAGTTGGAAAATTAAGTGATGTACTATAGTTTGGTGCCTAAAATGGGGAAAATCGGTTCATGAATTATTCTATCCCCCATATATTACATATAATTATTTTCGTTATTCTAGTCGACGCTACGCCGAATATCCGTCAAATTTTGAGTAATCGTAATAAAATTGGGTGGAAATATATTTTCTAAATCAAATCGTTTTTAATATATTATTATGTAATACATTCAATAAAGAAAGTCCGAACTAGGGGTTATAACTTATAAATAACGGATTATAGTCAAAATTTGTATTCTTAGGATTGCTTGTTAACAGTAATTTTTGGTTCTTTAATGATTTAATGACTGGTGATGGATGAATAGATTAATTTATAAGAGACAACGCTTATTTAATTTTTTTTTTTTGTTATAAACTAAATGAATTTGAAATAATTATATCGCATAAATAATTAAACGGTTTCATTCCATTCATTGCGTTGTGGCAGCGGTATGACGTTTATTCAGTAAATTCAATTCTGTCTCGTATTCATTTTTGGCAATATTATGCGGTCCTGGTCCCGAAGGCGGCAGTTTCTCTTGCATCACATGGAAGGTGTTACGTAGCTGCTCTAATGAATCAGCGAGTCCTTGTTTGATGGCACCGAATTCCTGCGACATCACTGACAATTTGCCCAACAGATAATTCAAATTTGTATCCATATCCAGCATGCGTCCCTTGATATCCTCTACCTTATTGCCCATAGTAGCCATGCTGAAGAATGTGCTATTGACAAAGACATCATTGCGTCCCTGCATTAGAGTCAGTAAATCTCTATTGTCACTAATCTCGCCATTCATAATGGAAATTTGTCGCCAAACATGACTGATTTCCGTTTCAATTGTGGAGCTAAGGTTTTGCATTGTCTCCAGCTGAGTGTTGATGATGTTCTCGTCGACGGCGTCGAAACGTGTCTTCAGCAAATCGACAATCTCCTCTCGTTGTTTGTCAATTATGTCGTTGACCTTTTGTACTGTCTGCAAAGTACCAAATTCGACTTTACGTTGTGTGTCCAAGACATACTCCGCGTTTGCCAGTAGAATATTATTGAATTTGCTGAAAATTTCAAGTCCCTCATTTAACTTGCTGTAGCTGGTATTCATTTCGTCGTAGAATCTCTGTAGTAATTCAGCTTGTGTATTGACGCCCACCAAAATTTTGCCAGCATCAGCCTGTTGCTTCTGTCCGGTTTCTTTGATGAGTGACGCTGTTTCCGCTTGTGCTACGAAATGAAATATAATTCAATATATAGACAGAGACAGCAATAAGAGGGGAAGAGATATATATAGTAGAGTCTCCCTGAGACTTACCTTTTTCAGTGCTGCTCTGCGCACTGGCCTTCACATTCTCAAGAGCGCTGAGTGTTTCGTTTGCCAACCCATGTATAAATTCTTTGTCTGCACTTGTAAGACCATCTTGTGGCTTAGGTTGCGCACGTAACTCTTCCATACCAGTCGCCAGTTCATCGAATTTCACAAACACTTTGTTCTCGAACTCCGAGTTGTCCACCGCCTCTGGCACGAGCGCTGGCGTAACAACACTGTAACTAACCAATTTATCTTCAATTTTAGTTAATATATCTGCAGTGGACGGCACACTCTTGAATGCCACTTCGGTCTGTTCCATCATATCCTTTGAGGTGTCCAATAGTTTTTCCACATTCGAAGACAATTTCGTAATTTGCTCAAGCATCTGTTGATTGATTTTCTCCTGCTCTTTAACGAATTCCGGTGATATGGCTGGAGGCTGGACAATTGGCGCTGGTACTGACATTCCCGCGGGCACAGGTGGTCGCTTCAAACACTCGTCATTCTCACGCATCCATTTGAATATGTGTTCGAGCGCCTCGCCGAGTTTTTCGGTCTGTATGTTGTATTTTTCTTCTTGCTATATGTGTGTCATATAGTAAATATTTAATCAAGTAAATAATGGAGTTAGTAGAGTTAAGTTTTTTACCGTTATCAACAACGTTTCAATTTGACTGACACGCTCATCTAAACGAGCGAATATGCCGTTTAGTGGTTCGAGACTCTTTTGTCCTTTTTGCAGAGTCTGGAGGGCTCTTTTAATTAATTCGCCAAGCGCTTTTTCGCGATGCTCGTGACGCTCTAATTTATTGTCTAATTGGTTGTAGGAATAAATTAGTGACCGCATGGTTCCGACTATGTCATCTCGTCTGTAAATGGTGGCGATTAAAAAAATCATAACCTAAATTTAGAGCCTTAAAATTAAATGGGCGTAAGTTAAATGAAGCATTTTTGAATGAAGTAGTATGAACGTAAATGAAGTGGAGTTCGCAGCCTATATACGAGTATATATCAGGTTTCTCCGGTTTGGTATTGTTTGGTCGAATCTATGTTATCATTAAAGTTCAGTGTTTGAATGATGCAGCTTATTTATAGTAGCTGGCTTACTAAAGTCCGATAAATTGAAAATTTTACATGTTTTTTTTTACAAGCAATACCGTTTGGTGATTCGATTCTTGTTTTTGGATGTCAATTTTTGATCAGCCACGCTCAGATGAAAAAGTGCACGATCTCGCGCGAGACAGCTGAGACAGTAGGCATCTCAAAAGAAGACCGCTAAGCAACGTATCCAGCTTAAAATATTGGGCATTATGGATGCCAGGTTCAATAACTCCAGGCAACAAGCGCAGCCGCCAGACGACTTTAAAACTGTGTTTGGAGCTACTTAAGCGCAATCTGAAATTTCTGCGTCGTTTCGTTTTGTGACTGTTGACGAAACATGAATCCGCTGGTACAAACCAAAGCCCGAGAAACAGTGAAAACGGTATATCCGGAAGTTTGGAAATTTATGTCACGAGACAAAATTGCCCTTACTCTTATTCTATAAGAACAAAACATAATAGTAAAGGTTTTTCAATTTTTAAATAGGCAGTTGAGACTTTAAGACACCGTCTTCGTTCAAATAACTGTTTCGACCACTGGCTTCTTCTAGCGTTTTATTTTGTCTTATATTGAATTTATTGATCAATAAAGCTCTTTAAAAAAGTCTATAAATAAAACTTGGAATTGTTGGAACAACCCTAGTGCTTAATACTAAATACATATGCAAGGATCTCATGGTAATTCTAAGCAAATTTCAGACAACTTCCGCTTTAAATAATTAGTTGAGCGGTGTGTGACAAGTTTATACACATTATTCCAACGATTTCCTTAAGTCTTTCACTCTTAAGCGCCAAACAGCTGAAACAATACAGCGTACTGTAAATTTAGGAAATGATAAATGATGCTAGATTTATGGTGTCTTTGACGCTTACAAGTGAAGCGAAATTAGCATAAGAAAATGTTTTATGATGTACGCTTTATGACTTTTTTGCTCTAACGGCCAATGCTGCGTAAATATTTACACAGCACGCAGTGTGGGTGTGTGTGTCCTACCTCTATAGCACCCAGCTCTGCCTTTGTTTACATTAAAAGGCACTCACAATTTGAATGCAAATGACGAGCAGACGGCACACTCCAACAAATCTTCGCTGGCGATGCCCTTAATCTCCATACGCTCAACGCACAAGAGAGCTAGAAAAAAGCACAGGCAGAAACTGTTGCCATATAAATCATCCAGGAAGCGCAACAAAGTGCTCAGGGTCAAAGCATTGATGGTATACTTTAATGCGCCGCATCGCTACCACGTCTGTTAGTGGGCATGTCGCATGTCGATCAACGTTCGGCGGCAATTCAGATGGCATTGCGTAATTTAGAAATGCACATCATTTGAATTTCAAAAATAAATAAATAAGATCTCTTTTTTCTCAGTTTTTTTTTTTCAGCGGTAATTGTGTGTGGCTGGTGCAATAGCATGAAGTTCCACTACAAATATGCCGCAGATCGGCATGCGTACGAACTCCACATGAATTCATGTGATTGTATCAATGGTTCTGCTCCTATTTATACTTGGACTCTTGCAAGCTCTTAGTACTTAGAAGTTAGGCGATAAGATGCTGCACAACGCAAATAGCGCTTCTATTTTTGGTTCCACTGACATGCAGATTAATGAGTTGCAATCGAGACACAATTTCCAGCGGAGTGCCGCTGAGTGAGTGCTCATTAAAACAGTGTGGGCATTTCTTTGTATCCCCTTAGAATGAGTTTGTCTTTAATGGATTTTGATCTCAAATTGGCGCCGTCTATTTATGGACTTATGTACATATATGTATAGGTACCATGCGGGGTTGAGAAATTGGATTTTAAACATATATTTGGAATTATAAAAAGTTTGAATAAAATATTAAATTTTTTATATGAAAAAAATATATATATATTTAAAATAAGCCGTTTTTTGGCCGACAAAACCCATATAACCCCTTAAGCTATTTGACGAAACTCCAAGAAGCACTTAAGTTATACAAAGAACTCAGTCTAGTCTGGGCCGATTTTACAACTATTAACTAATATAAACGTTATAAAGTTAACAGTATTGTTGAAAATAACTATATTGCGTATAGATATTGATACTAATTTCATTTACTTTTGACATTCAACTAGGGTATGTTCGAGGAAAAATTTCGACCCATTTATTTAGATATATCAAGAATAATGAAAATCAATACATAAATATATACATATATTGTAAATATATGGGATCTAAATTAATGCATCGACCGATTTTATTTTCACTTCAAGATAATACGTTCACTAAATTTTGTTAAGATATCTGAACTGCATAAAGTCAATCGAGACTTTGAAAATCAATATATTAGATATATGGATGCTATAGATGTATTGAACGGATTTCATTAAGATCGCAAATTGGTTAACTTTTTCCTTATAAAGGCAGCCACAGTTTCTGAGCTTCTCATATTCGGTAACTTCGGACTGGAAAAAGGTGTATTTTCGACCAGATATTAAGGGAGAGGCAGAGTTACAGTTTCATTCCCAAAGATCACGGTCAAAGTAGTATAAAAGCTATATTTTTTATAAGTGATCGTTAACTAGGAAGTATAACTACAGTATACAAATACGCATTAAGCGCATGTACTCAAACCTAGTGGATCTATGTACTCCCTTTAAAAATATATAGAACTGTTTGATCGCGATGGGATGATATTTTAACAATAGAAGAAGTACACAGCAATTAAGAAAAAATCTGTACTTACGATATTTCGCCTTGAGCTGGATACAATAAGCTCAAGGTAAACAGACTTAGAAACACTACACCAATTAGGCGACGCATTGCTGTAGTCTCTTTGGTTTACACGTCAATAAGGCGATTTCTGTATTTAAAGTTGAAGAAGCTGAGTGCTTACGCTGCGGATCTCCTGCAAAGGAAAGGAGAAAAACAATTATGTGTTAGTAGATATTGCGAATAATTGTGAGTATTGGTTGAATATGGTGTTGCATGTTGGCGATTCGACTCAAGAGGTCTGTTCGGCAGCACCGATGGCACTCTATGCAACAGCTGCAGTGGCAATTCAACAGCTATCGGATGCTATAATTAAACTTCCTTTCTCAATCGAATTGAATTGGATTGAATTCACTTGAAATGGAGTGAAGTACAGTGAAGATAATTAAGTGCACAGCAAAGTGCGTAGCTATACCATACATACATCTATATGAACCGTATAATCAATCAATTGAATTGTCTAAAAACTTTAGAATACATAAAGACTACAAAGAAATAAATATCTATAAGTACCACGTTTGCCTTAACGTGGTTTTTAAACTCTCAGCAGACTAAGTTTTTCTCAAATAGTACTCGAAAGGTATGCTCATGTTTTCCTGGCTTAAAAAACTGGTTCTAAACAGCTACGGGCCATCAAATGTATCTAAATTTTTTTGTGATTTTAAATTCTTACTATACTCTTGACCGTCTTCATTTCGTTACTTTTCTGCTCGCTATGTTTAAACTCTACCAAATTATGTAGTACTGGTTATCTCAATTTGAATATGCTGGTCTATAGTATTTATAGCAGATCTATGTTCGATTCGCCACTCTACATAGTCCTGTTAATCGAAAATAATTCTTTATTTTCTCAATAATATTTATAGAAATATAAGAAGGAATGATATATTTCAAGAGACCAGCAAATTATGTACTTCCACGAATTTCTCTTATTGACTTAATTAACTTAATATGTTGCGCTCTTAGTTTCGGAAATATGAGTTTCACGATGCGAAAAAATCACAGAAACTCAAACATGGTGAAAATGCCGTTTCTTTGCAGAATTTCTTCTGCGACCGCTACTGCGGGTCTATTAAAAAATTAAGGTAAAAACAGTAATATTGGTGCAACAATCGGCCAAAAAGTGTTGAGGCAACTGATAACACACTTTAATAGCGCAGTGTTAGCTTTCCTATGCAAACTCAATGATTTTCGAACAAAATTGTTTGCAACTTTTAAAAGATTTCGTCATTAATATTAAATATATTATAACAAAGGTGGAGAAGATTTTCAAAGTTCTACCACAATATTTACGTTTTCCATAAAGTAGACCTCCATAACTAATTTTTGCAACGTTTTATTTCAGAAGTGCGTTGTTTACTATTTTTAATTTCAAATCAGAATAAATCTTTGCTTCCTCAACTGTCATACGCTCACTAGTTGTCAAATTTTGCTAAAAGCTCACTCGAATCTTTAACGATATTGTTTCAAAAAAGTCACTACATACTTTCTTTTTTACGTTCTTCATTTATCAGATCCAGGTCAAAGCTGATCAGTTGATACACAATTGGCTAATTTCGTTTCGCATTTTTATCCTCAACTATAAACCATTGCTTACATTGCCGATAATCTTAGAAACTGGAACAACTGCAATAGTTGTCTGCAATGAATTACCAGTGGCAATCAACATTTTATAAATATTTACATTGTCCACTTTTTTCACATGCAAAAATTTTCCTTAAAATTTTACATATTGCATTCGAACTTGCATCTGTAATTAAATAAACAAAAATCCTTGTAGAATATTTCAATGATTTTTTGTTTGTTTAAAATTCCAGTATTCCAGCAATACAAAATTGTTTACAAATACTTGCAGCAATATATTTTGATTTAATGAAATGTAAACGATTCTTTAAAAATAAATGTTTTTATGACGGATTAATGAATTAACCTCAAAATGAAATTATTTATGCAGCAGATGGCGAATTGTATATTAAATTTATATTTTTAAATAGAAATGTATGTCAGAAACAACTTAATATTACATGACTTGAAGTGTCGGAAAATTGCAGTAGATGGAGAACAGACTTTGTTCTCTAATTGAATAATACAAAAATCTATGCATACGAGTATATATGTAGTATGAGGGTGCTGTGACATGCCATTGTGGTTTTGCAGTTTTTACGGAACGTTGTGGCCAGGTAAGTATCGTTAAAGCACATATGATTTCAAATAATTGTCACTCCGTTTCGCTATTTTTGAAGCTCATTAATCAGTCTTCTTCTTTTTATCAGAATATATAGATTCCCAGCCGCAACAAAGTTTGCCAGCCAGTTAACACAAGGTAAATAAGGCGTACACATTATTAAAGTGTATAACGGCATTATTATTCAATTCTCTCTGTAATTGTGCTACTCTAATGCTTTTAAAAATTTTAGTTGTTTGTTCGATTTGCCACTACCTTGTATAAACAGGTAACAAAGAATACTTTTGGACAGACTCCTCATTAGTTATAAGGTCAAAAGGAACGCAATTTGACATGAAGAAAAAATGTTTCAAGCAATGGATGATTGAAAAAGTTACTGCATAAACGAAGTGTCCTCGTAAATTTGCACAACACTTTGTTTTAGTTTGGGTTCGCATTTTATTTGCATCTTTTTAATGTTATTTGCACTCACACATAAAAAAAGTGTTCCATATACACAATTTAGATATTTCAAAGGAGAGTAAAAATATGCGTTTTAGTATCACTATTTTTGTTTTTGTATCTTTTGAATTTTATGACCACACAAATGGTGCTCCAGTTCCCAACGTTAAAATGCAATTTTGTTTCTCTTCTAATTTTTTTCTTTTTCTAATTTTTGTTGTACTGGTTCAAAGAACTCTTGGCAAATTGTTTTCTTAAATTTATGACGTATATTACATAATGTATGATTTTCTTTCCGATTTGTCATAGATTTCCAATTATATTCTAGCATATTTTAATATATAATGACTTTTTTGGATTTAATAAGTAAAATTGCGCCTGTAATTAAAGACGGCTTAAGAGCTCAGCAGTTAGGCTTAGATATTATATTAAACCCGAAACTGATGAAATTCTTATATTCTTGCAGTTGGTATACCAGTAGTAAATGAACGTTCGATAAATAGGCTTCCAAAGAATTCGTTTTTACTTCAACATTGAAGTTAGGAAATAAGAAAACTCACGAATTTCAGACCTTTTTAACCCCTCCCCCCGTCCTTGTCCAAAGTTGTCACATTTTGAAAACCCCCCCTGACGTGACGTCGCACATATTCCAGTTTTATGGATTTCTTGAAAAATATAAAATAAAAAGATTTGTGAGTCACCCTGTATATGCAGATCATCTTGAAACTATATGCAAAGTCGGTTGCGCATTGTAAATATACGAATATACGAAGCTGTAAGCTTACATTTCTTAACATTGAAATTAGCATTACTTTTCTCATTTAACACTCAAAATGCTCAATTCGGTTATTTTGCGCTCCGTAGGGGTAAAACTCTGGTGAAATCCGCTTAGGGGCTATCCATAAATTACGTCACATTTTAAATGAGGGGGAGGGTATCATTCGAATGTGACAAGCGGTAGGAGGGTCAAAAGCTTTGTGACATCACATTTCAAAACACTAAATTTTATAATTATCTTCTAATGACCAGAGACCTCTAATCGTCAATTAAAACAATTATATGAGAAGAAAATGATTTACAGATGCATAAATATTTTAGTTTTAGAAGAATTAAGTTTTTGTGTTTTTTGAAGTTGAAAACAATTGAAAATTCCGTAAGTTGTGAGTATACGGAATTAAAAGTATATGGTTTACAATTTTTTTATAAAAGTTATCAGATAGCTTTGGCGTCGTTTTATGAATAAATACGTTTTTGCTTGAGGGGTTACATGGGTTTCGTCGAGCAAAAAACTTAAATAAAAAATGAAATATTTTATTCAAACTTTTTATTACTCCGAAGATGCATATTTGCAAAGGAAAATATTCGAAACTCGGCCACGACGCCATTTCCGGCAAGTTGCCTCCGCGTTGACAGCAGAACTTCTTTCAGGATCATTAAAAACAAAAATACCAAATAAAGTGAAAATTGTATTTTCGACGTTTTTTGTTTTTTAAATAGTTGTAATTGACTTTGTAAATTATATATCAAAGACCTGTGAAAAATTTCATTAAGATCGGTTGAGTAGTTCGTGAGAAATCTTGACAACCGACTTTGAAAACACAGTTTCGAGAAAAACGCGTTTAAAGTTTTAGGTGACTATATAGCTGACCGAGCGCGCAACTGTTCAAAAGTGTATCTCCAAAATTATTACCGTTATCAACTTGAGTAATTTATTAGAAATTGTATGTAATTTATTAGAAATTAAATTGTACAAAAAGAAAATATATACATATTTGCATAAACCGCAATTTGCGGCGTAAAATTATTTAACATTGTTTTATTTGTTTTGTTTTCAACAACTGATTAGTTAATAAAACAATTTAATCAATTCTAATGAACGGCGAAAGAAAATTCAATCAACTATGGAGCTTGAGTTTTAATCTAAGTACGGCTTTACTTGTTTTCTTTTTATTTATTTTTTTCATTTTTCGTACACATTGCATACGTATGTATGTATATTTGTATGTGTGTATGAAAGCATACAATGAAAATGTACTTTTGGATGCAAGTCAAAGCATTTTATAATAAATTAATACTTATCGCTTAGGAGTTTACATGCACACACACATGCATATACATTTTTATTTGAATATTGTACAGTCTTTAAATAGGGCAAAAGGTTGATAAATTATGATTCCAGGCGGTAGAGAATGTTTTGATGTTTTGCGGCCAGCGACAAATTGTTTTCATTATTGCAAAAAAAAAAAAAAAAGTGCATTTTACAATATTACATGATTATATTTGCTTTATAGTTTTAATTGATAATTGCAGAATGCAGTGATTAAATATATTGCTTGGCAGTTGAAAAAATAAGATTGCGAAATTGTGTTACATTATATTATTATATAATATTAAAAAATTTCAGAACTTTTTTCTACTTTTCGCCAAAAGGTCTTTTAATGGACTATATCCACTTGTGAATTTCAAGAAATCGATTTATTTGCATATATTGTATATCGATATTTGAGAGTATTCTCCGAAAATTTGAAGTTGATCTGGCAAATCGTTCCGTAGATATGAGCGCATTTGAAAGAATTTTTTAACTTTGTGTAATCGGCTCACAAAACCTTAAACGCGTTTTTCTCGAAGTGAAGAAAATTTTTTTGAAATGCATGGACCTAACAACTTGAAATCTTCACACGACCTTCTTAGATATATTTGTCAGATATGATCGAAGGAATATGATTTTGACAATAATTTCGATTTTTAAGTCACTTGCAGTGTACATTTTTCCACATAAAACGAAATTTTTAGGGCAGCCGCCATTTTGTCAATAGTTCAAAATTTTGACTAGTTCTTGGATTATTGCCTGTATTCATACGTAGTAATTTTTAGCAGAAACATTTTCTCCAAGGCCAATTAATAAAATACATTAAATTTTCCAAATGCACATTTTTATACCCTGAACAGCGTATATTAAGTTTGCCACGATGTTTGTAACACCTGAACGGAATCGTCAGATACCCTATAAAGTATATACATATGTATCTAAACGATCAGCATGACGAGATGAGTCTAGTCCCTCAGTTTTTCAGATATCGAATGAAATTTTTTAGCAATGATGCAGTTGAAGAAATTGTTTTGATCGGATCACTATAGCATTTAGCTGCTATACAAACTGAGCAGTCAAAGTGCTTGTAAGAAATCGTTTGTATTTGTGAAGAGTGTTAAAGCTTCGGTGCAAATTTAACGTTTCTTCTTGTTTTTTTTTATTAAAAAAAATTATTTTCAAAAAAAATTCGCAAAAAATGCGTTTTTTCTGATTTGTAAGTGAATATAACCCCTTCAGCTATGTAAACTAACCCCTAACCTAGTTTTGGTAGCACTTTATATAAATATAGTTAAAATTGTCAAGCTTTTCACACTATGTAATTGATAATCTCTGCCTCTTCTCTGCTTTTTTGACAGCTATTTCTTTACTTGCTTCATATCACTTTTATGGCTCTATTTCAAGCATTCTTCTTCTTGCTGCAGTGAAATGTAATGTTCTCATATTAGAGATGTGCTTTGAGGTTTAATAATGTCTGCGAAGTATTACTACTGTTAGTTTTAAGTTTATTCTAAAAAGGTGTTGGACTCTGCGAGAAGCTTGTTTATGTCAGATGTACTGTGGCCTTTGATATTGCCTACTGAAGGCAGACTTTTAAAAAATTGTTCAAATATAATTTTAGATTTTTTCTGGAATAGCATTTGAATTTCACGACTAACCGAGTGAAATCTAAGTTCTCAAGGCACTTAACCATAGTGACCCCTAACCTTAGGAATTATTAGTAATAAAAGCCTGTCGACAAAAAACAGGTAGATTAAAATCACGTTTGAAAATACTCAGATGTCTAGTTTTTTATAGCTCTATTGGTGTATTAAAACCTCTTCATAGCTATAGTCAGCATAGAAATACCGGCATGAGATGCGCGCAGTTCAGTAGGTGTGGAATTATCAAACATTTCCGGTATGTACAAGTACATACTACATATGGCCAATATACCAGTTGTGCAGATTTTTTTTATAGCTGCTTATGCTAATTATATTCAATAATTATGAGTCCACATTAGAGATTTTTATTTGAGTCTTAAATATATATTTCCATGCGAGATATAACCTTTTTTGTTTAAGTATATGAATGGCTTCAAATTTCAATCGAAAATTCACTGATAACTGCATTTTGGTAGTCATAACATGGCATATGTTCTATATATACTATATGTTAGCCGAGTGGGAATTATCTCCCGAATACGAAACAGAAAATGTGCTTGAATTATAATTATAATTATACGCGCTTATTGCACCGAATCGTGAATTTTAAACTGATAAATGAAAATCTAAGTACTCATTCCAATCGCAGAATATTTACTTACGACCGTGACGTATACTACGTTTACGTATAAGTCCTTAAAACTTCAGAAATTGGCAGCCACTTTATGCCGTTATTTTACTCACAATTAAATATGACACTTGATTTGATTTTATTTTGATTAAATAACTTTTTGATTATTTATTAATTATTTTAATGATTGAATTTTTTACTTGTTTTATATTACGCAACTATTATTTTTTGATTTTTGATTCTTTTTTTTTATTAATTTATTTATAATTTTTTATTATTTAATTATTTTTTAAATTTTATTCTTTTAATTTTATTTTTTATTAATTAAATAATTTTTGATAAATACGTATTTTTTCGTTATTGGATTTTATTAATTTTTTATTATCTTCTATTTTATATTTTATTTAATTCATTTTTTTTTTTCTAATTTCAAAACGACTCTCCATGTATGAAAATGTAAACGGCGCACTGTAATGCTCACCGAGTATCCGTTAAAGTCGACTAAATGGCGCTAGATTAACTTATGAACAGCTACAGATCTTACACTTAAATAGGATCTAGCTGCTAACACTAATACACTGCGACAATTAATCACACCGCCAACTCGGTTGACTTTTCAGCACTAGGTTCGACAAACGAATGAATTTTGAGTTTAACAGCGCAATATTTAGGAGCCAGCTGACTTTCACGACAGAACCTAATCGATGAGAGTTGATAGAGCGCAACATGCGCTCAGCAAGCAGACAGTGATGCACTTAAGATCGTTGCTTCTGTGTTTATTTGATTGCTTATTTTTCTAAGGAAGGAAAAAACTATGGATGCAGGAAAATCTTTTTGATTAATTGTAACTGCACAAAACCCGCATATGCTATGCTTGAGAGCATATGCTCTATACAGTATGTACCTACTCTTATGCATGCGCCTCTATTGTGTGTTCGTGTTAAGTCGAAAGCGTCGTGTGGGTGAGAGTGGGGTTAGCAGGCTGTTGCGTTTGCTCGCTATCAGCATAGCGATGATCTTCATTGATCGTTAGTGGGGGCATAATTCATAAAAATAGGGATGCTGTTGTTTTTTCGAAACAAGATACATACACAGATGTAGTAATATGTGTAACTGTAGATGCAAGATCCATGTTTATAATCTATTTATGAGTAAGTAAAGTCGAGTATACAAGTACATCTTGCTGGCATGTGCCTTTGCACCCTTTGCTCTTCCATTCCAGGCGTGTTGCAGGCGAAATGTTTCTCATGCTTGAGGGCCAAACAAAATAAATAAACAAATATTTTAAAAGGAGTATAGTTCGTAGGCATGCATATGTACACTGGCGATCAAAATATTGGAGCGAAACATTTTAAAAACAAGAAAAGACTTCGGTTCCACCGAAGCTATAATACCTTTCACAAATACAAAATATTCCACACAAGAACTATGTTATATTTTAATCAGTCAGTTTGCATGGCAGCTATGTACCAGGTGTACCGGTATGAAGTGAGCGTAAAGGTACAAATGTGTTGGTAGGGAACACTTTTTGTGAAAGTGCCTTATTTTTTTACAGCCATTATACAAACAACATCACATTTTTTCATTGTGTTGAAAATGCCAAATTTTGTACCGGAAAGGTTTGATTTGGGGAAAGCATTCATTTTGTGTTTCCATGTGAAGAAAAGTGTTGCAGAGTCGCATCGAATGCATGGCGAGGCATATGGTGATCATGCTCTATCAGAAACCACATGCAAAAGATGGTGTCAACGGTTCAGAGATAATGATTTCGATGTGAGAAATGAAGAGTGTTAAACGTTGCAAAACAAACAATTTCAGACAGTTTGAAAGCTATTAGAAAGATCCAAAAGTGTGGAAAATGGGTGACACATAAATTGAATGAAAGTCAAATGGAAAACCGAAAAAACATTTGTGAAATTTTGCTTCAAAGGCAGGAAAGAAAATCAGTTTTGCATCGAATTGTCACTGGCGATGAAAAATGGATTTATTTTAAGAATCCTAAATGGAGAAAATTATCGGTTAATCCGGGACAACCATCAACATCGAGTGCAAAAACAGATCGATTCGGTAAGAAGGTAATGCGCTGTGTTTGGTGCGATCAGAAGGCTGTGGTATATCATGAGCTTCTAAAACCTAGTGAAACAGTTAATACTAATCGCTACAGACAACAAATGATCAATTTGAAACATTCATTGATCGAAAAACGACCAGAATGGGCCAGAAGACACGGCAAAGTAATTTTGTTACACGACAGTGCACCAGCACACAAAGTAAAATCGCTTCAGGATACAATCAAAGTACTTGGCTGGGACCTGCTACCCCACCTGCCGTATTCACCAGACTTGGCCCCTCTCGATTACCCTTTGTTTTTATCGATGGAACACGCATTGGCTGAGCAGCACTTAGATTTCTACGCAGAAATCGAAAGTTGGGCGTCTGATTGGTTTGCTTCACAAGACGAACATTTTTATTGGCATGGTATGCACAAATTGCCAGAAAGGTGGGCAAAAAGTGTAAAACGCAATGGTCAAGACTTTGAATATATTTTTTTTTTTACTTTCCTAGTCAAATTTCGTATTTCATTTTTATAAAACTCATTTCATACCGACACACCTGGTATATGCTATAATAATCCGATCTGAACAATTTCTTTGGTGATTGCACCATTGCCTTAAACAATAATCTAAGCCAAATTTCTTGAAGATACATAGCCGTCAAATGAAAAGGCTTTCCATACAAGTACTTTATAGCGATCGTTCAATTTGTATTGCAGTTACGGAATCGGGACGCACTCGGGTATTTACCATATATTAGATTTAGAGAGGTCAAAGTCATTGATCTGTACGAGAGGTTATTGTATTGGTCTCCAAGTTATTGGTCTCTAAATTACGCTACCTCTGATATTTTTGGTTAAACGTGAAAAATGTACATTTTGATTTTTTGATAAAACATCGTTTCCTACTGGAAAATCATATCGTTGAAACAACAAAATTGTTTGAGAAGTATTAAGGCAAATACCTATGAGCCAGCGTATTCACGATCCATATACTAGTTTGCTGAATTTTGGAAGGCCGCAAGTGCCAGTAACGCCAGAAAATATCAAGAAATTTTATTAGGTTACCGTAAAAGCAAATTGAGATAATTAGTTAAAACTATTGGCATCTCAAAGGAACACATAAGTCATATCATTCCCCACTTTTGGCAAATTACACTATAAACTAATACCCCGCCCACCGTATTCGCCAGATTTGGGATCGAGTGACTAGTTTTTCCTTAATAGACTCAAACGCTCGCTTTCAGTCGTCTCAAATAAGCAGATCAAGATGGAATGAAAACGCATATTTTGAAGTTCTCGAAGTTTCATACGATCGTACCGGTACTGAACCGCAACAACAGGTACATTGCTCTAGCTGGAGATTATGACGAAGAATGGGCATATTTCCATTAAAGAACATATTACTTCATTATTAGGCGAAACATTTTTCAGTTCATGGGGTATTTTGCTTTATTTCAGTTTTACTTTTCTATGAAACCGTTAATCATATACAATATAAATAAATATACTTCTGTAATATCATAAATGAAAAAAATACTTGGCCGATCTCGTATTTGCGGTGTAATCAAATTTATATCCGACTAAGCGGGGCGCTACAACTTTCGAGCTGTTCAGTAAGGGCTCATGAGTTTTATCAGATATTTTTTAGTGACAGAAATTCCTACTGAGATTTGGCACTATCTTTCAAGTGGCGACCGCCATTAAAAGAGAGTAAATAGCATCGAATCAAGCACCCGCAAAATTATATAGTGGCCACCATTTAAGTTTATATTAAGAGTCACTGACTTAAACATTTGTGAGAACATTACAAAAATTATATAAATGATCGCATTCTTTGGTTTTGACCTTTACAAGTGGAGCTAAAAACACGCTAGGTCGGAAAGTAGTCAAATCCACCGGCTGTGCCATGTATACGAGTATATGCCTGTTTAAGCATAATTGCTAATATTCTCTCCACTACTGTTCATGCACTGTGTGGCGGATCACTGGTTGCAGCTGATCCATGAGTTTTTTCCTCCAATATGTTGTGGCATGTTGATTTTATGGAGAAGTAATCAGTCGTTTCTTTATTTTTAATTACTGCTACGCACTCATAAAATATGCATTAACTGCAATAAAAAGTTTACTAGCTGCATCGCCATTATTGATTATGTTTTGGTAATTAAATTTTATTTAATTTCAGTGTTAAAATTATTGCGTGTGCGAGGCATTCAATTAATGGACGGAAGTGCATGTTTTCTAAGGCTGCGTGAAAATGTTTCCTTGAATTATATGTTTCGGCACTTTTTAGTTTTTGAATAAATAAGAGAATGTTTAGAAGAATTCAAACTTCCGGAAATTAAGTCGTAAATGCTTAGTATATAGATCCATAAAAATTTCGACAGTCCGCCAGTTTGTGTAGTTTTCATTAACTTTCAATAAAAGAAAATAAATCTGGGACCTTTTCGGTTACGTAAGTCCGGCAGTCATGAGAATAGCTTCGGTTCGTTTCGAACCCATTTTATTTTTGACCTTCGGCATTTATCTCGCTTGAGGAGTTACAGTGGTTTCACGGATAATAATATATATTTAATTCTATGACATCTTTGGAATATTGTCATAAATTCTCAAGTTGATTGGAGTAAAAATTTTGGAGATAGAGCCTTGAGTTCAGCTATATGGCCGAGTTTTGAATATTTTCCTTTGAAAATTTTACAAAATCTTTGTAAAATATGTATCATTGGAATAATAATAAATGTAAATAAAATATTTCGGTTTTTATATGAAGAAAATATAAACTTTGTCAATAGACCGTTTTTTGCTCGAGGATACCCATGCAACCCCTTAAGCTTTGTTACCCTCATTTTACTAAGTTTACTAGTTTGGACTAAACAAACCGTGGGCTTTGTATATCAGAAATCTTAATTTTTCGATCTATAGTCTGTTTTAAAAGAATATATTTTGAGTTGAAAAATTATATACATAGGTCCATACCTCTATGGTTGTTATGTATGTAGGTTCATCTCACTTTCGTATTCAAATATTACAAAATTTTCAATAAGTTTTGATACCCTTCATTTCATACAATGAATGGCAAGTAGAAAGTGTAACCAGAGCATGAAATGTTTGTGTGAACCGCACGTATAATATCGCATGGTTTAAGCACTATATAAGCTGGCGTCATTATGAATACCATCTAAAGATCGGAAAATGACGTAAATCTTCTATAAAAACCAAAAAAGAAAATAAAAAATATAGATATAATATATAACTTAAGTAAGACAAAAAAAAATAACAAAGTGCTGTGAAGTGGCTAAACGTTGATATACACACAAACAAAAAAAAAAAAAAAAATATATATATATATATATACAATATATACGTGCTGTGCAGTGAGTGACTTAACACATATATACACATAAAAAAAAAACCAGAAGAAAGTGAGTGAATTGTGGAGTGACACAAACATATTTACGTAAAAGAAAGCGTGAAAAGCAACAACTATCAAAAAAAAACCAACAATGGTCGCGAAATAATCAGAAATTACGTACAGGCGCGAATTTCAACAAAAAACAACAAAAATATATACATAAAAATACAAAACGGGCGCGAATTAAAATAAAAAAACCTTACCAGCTCACCAAAATCAGCGCAGCAAGCAGCAAAGGACTGGGCCACAGAACGAACAGCACACGCACAAGCACATATGTATATAACATTGTCCCCAAAACTCCAAATATTATATGTATGTTAAAATGTATGCTTTTGCGATTTATTTACTACATAAATCTGTCTTAATAAAGGCAACAACAAAAAAGAGCGGCCGTATCCGTTTTTTTAATATATTGGTGATTGAAAGTGCAAACAAGTGCAAAAAGGTGAGTGCGTAAACGAAACAAATATTCATGGTCCTTCGAGCCATAGGAGTGAACAAAAAATAAATAAAAATTTTTTTTTTAATTTTTAATTAAAAAATGTAGAAATAGCTCAATTTATTAAATTTTTTAGAATACATACCAAAATTAGCTGATATCGGAATCTGATAGAATAAGATTGAATAAAGGCATACTTGTATATATGTAGAATGGACTGAAACGTAAACTGAAATATCGGAGATTGGGTGGATATATCTGTTTATGGAACGAATAAAGGAAATATTTCATGAAGATAGTAATTTAAATTTTTAAAATGGTCGATATGTCTTTATATCTTGAAACTAACAACCCTTCGCAATATCAGTCATATTCGACTTAGAAAGGACCGAACAAATGAGAACAAATCAAAATGGAGTAAAACCAAGAAGTATTGAATGTCATATGGACCTGGCTACATGCAGGACATACATGTCTACATATGTATAGGTATTTAAGGGTCAAGCCTCAGAGTTTGACATAATACGAAGCGCTATTGTGTTAGGTTTAAACGGTTTTTAAAAATTAAGCTTCTCTTTTTCAATAGGTGAATAATATAGCCATGATATGTAAAAATTCAACAAAAGTGAGCAGACGAAACCACTCTGTCAAGACAGACAATCTGGCCCGTTCCGCTTTTGTAGACCGAACTGTCTTGGGAGCGGAACTCCATTTGGTGATAAAGAACGGTTAATGCTTTCTAATGGTAAGCCGTGTCCAAACCTATCGAGTAACTTCACAACTTTGAGGTATCAACTGTCGGTAGAAAAAATAAATTAAACCAAAATGTTTTATTACACTAGCGCACGTCCCATACACTGGGTATAAGAACAAATGTATTTACGACCATTGTAAATGGCTGCTTTTCCACCAACCGTGAACACGTCATTCACACAGCTGATTGGTTGTTGTATTTGTTTTAATTGAGTGGCGGTGCGATAAAAATATTAGTTTTTCATGGCGTTTATTTTAAATAGAAAAATAATTTAATAAGAAAAAGATAGAAAGAATCTTTTGTTTGATGGAAGCGCACAGATAAGATAAAGTGTAACTGCAAAAGTATTCAATATATGAGTTTTAAATCTATCGCTAAGAAAATGTTTATAGAATCATAAGTGTTCGAAAGGAAGAAAAGTTTTACTACGTGGAATATTAGATACGACTGAATAAACAAAAACAAACGCGCAAAAGCAGCACAACGAAAAAATAATAATAGGAAAAAATGAGTATGGATGAGAAACTTAAATATTCGCTTTTGCGAGGAGAACTTGTGGACAGTCAAAATGCTTGGACACGGTACATACATAAAGAACTACTTTAAAATCTCATACACTAAATTTTCCACAATATGTTTATTCATATTTTATATTAACAGTACCGAGAAGCGCGTTTGGTTCCTCACACTTATCACAGGCACTTTAATGCTGTATTCTACACGCACATCAATGCCTTTACTTATACCCGCTGTTGCAGCAGAACAAAAATGGAGCAAAACTGACTCGGGTACTGTGCTCAGTTCATTCTTCTGGGGCTACACATTAACACAGGTGTTTGCACATGCAAATACTCGTATTTAGAAAAAACTTTAACTTACCGATTTGTTTTTTCTAGGTGGTGGGTGGCTATTTTAGTGATCGTTTTGGCGGTCAACGTGTTATACTGTTCGCTGCCATTGGCTGGTCGTTGATAACTTTCTTTATGCCAAATATTATATGGATCTCCACGGCGATTAAAGCATATTCCATTCCGTTCATTGTCACTATACGTATTATAAATGGCGCATTCCAAGGTGTGCACTTTCCAAGCATGATTAGTTTGACAAGTCAAGTAAGTGGCCAAGTTGATTTTGTGCTATAATTTTATAATTTATGTTTTTAGAATCTTTGCCCGAATGAACGTACAAGTTTCTTTGGTCTGCTCACTGCCGGCTCAGCGCTGGGCACACTCTTGACCGGCAGTCTGGGCTCATTTGTGCTGGACTACTTCGGCTGGCCATATGTATTTCGCGTTATTGGCTTTTTGGGCATATCATGGGCGTTGATGCTGCGCTACTATACTATGGCGGGTGAACGTGGACGCATTATAAACGTGTCAGTGCCATCACGTCTGTGTGCCAATAAGCAAATTCCGGACAATGTGCCGTGGCTGCGTTATTTTCGAAAACTCTCATTCTGGGCTTGTGTACTCACGCATGCCTGTGAGATGAATTGCTTTTTCGTCTTGCTCTCATGGCTTCCCACATATTTCCACGATGGATTTCCGCATGCTAAAGTGTGGGTGGTAAATATGATACCATGGCTTGCTTTGCCGCCATGCACATTATTTGCACGCTATTTAACAGGACGTTTATTGGCGCGTGAGTGGTCTACTTCGGCGGTGCGTAAGATCATACAAAGTTGCTGTTTTGCATCACAGAATCTGGCGTTATTCATTATGGCGCGCACAAGCGATTTTCACACAGCACTCATTTGCATGACCGTTATAATTGGTAAGTCGGCCGTCATTTACTTGTAATTCCGTTATTAATTTTTATTTTGTTCTGTAGGTGGTACTGGCTTCCACAATAATGCTGTCACTGTAAATCCACAAGATCTGGCGCCTTCACATTCCGGTAGCGTTTTTGGCTTGATGAATACTGTCGGCGCAGTGCCTGGATTTTTAGGTGTCTACCTCGCTGGACATATTTTGGAGATAACACAAAGTTGGCCAATTGTTTTTAGCACTGCGGCAGCTATTAATTTAGTTGGCTGGACAGTGTTCATAGTATTTGGCTCGGCTGAGGCTATTGTGTGATTCTTGCTGTGTAATTCTCTACATACCCTCTAGGCATGCACACATTTCGAAGTACTGACTATTTTAATTCCAAATATATTTGTACATACTTATTTGTAGTACACAAACTTATTCGATTTGATGGACGGCTTTTAGTAGTTCCTTGTAATCATTTTATTTATGTGTTCTTGAGATCTGCAAATTCTGTAAGAAAAATATTTATAAGTAGTACATATTTAAAATATTTAAGCGTGATATGCAAAATATAAATAATAAGTAAAAAAAACGAGACAATGCAATTGATAGTTTGTTTAGTAGCACTTTATTTAAAAATATTTATAGCAAGTTTAACGTCGTATAGGACACGTGACTGTAAAAAAACATGAAAATAATTACACAATCCATTCCTCATCCGGTAACAACTTAGACATATAAGGGCCGTCCAACTCATAGCCCAGTTTACGATAATATGCGCGTGTACCAACCCCAGAAATAACAGCCAACTTCACGCTACCATGCTCCTCTTTTGCTATACGTTCTGCCTCTTCCATTAACAACATGCCAAAACCCTATAAAAAATTTCCCAATATTTAAATATCATTAAATTATGATATTTATATTTTTCTACTAACCTGATGCTGAAACTTGGTTGGATCTCTAGAACTTACGGGCACCACCGAGCCATACACATGCAATTCGCGCACAATGGAACATTGTCCCACTTGGGTTAATTCTTTTTGGAACGTATCTGCTGAACATTTGCGCAGGCGCAACAGTCCCACAAGTATGTCTTGCTCCGGATCTTCGTAAGAGAGGAAAGTCTCCCAACCACCGTTAGCATAGTAGTCACGGCGTATCAATTCGATTTCATATGGGCGCACTTTATTGTGTATTTCTTGTATGCCAACTTCCCGTGTACGCACGTCACGACACTCAGTACCCCAATCCTTCATACGCGCTAGCGCCAATTCACGCAAATTTCCGTGCTCAACACCGGAACTGTAAAATTAATATAAATTTAATCGTAGTGTTTAGTTATTTGTTGTTTAGTTTACCTAACAAGCGGCATTGGTATATCGCGTTGTACACGATAGACGCGCGTCCATGGCGGCACTAAAGCCAATATCTTTGCCACTAAATCGACCAACATCGATGGTGGATATGACTTATAGCGACCAGTCTTCCACAACTCATAGAGACCAGTGCCGCGAATAACAAGCGTTGGATAAATTTTTAAGCCATCGGAGCGGAAGGCAGGATTTTCAAAGTACTCCTAAAATCAAATTACAATAACTTTACAGTAAAAAGGCAAATAAACAAATAAATGCACTCACAATAAACTGCTCCAGATCACGTTCAAAATCTACATTTGGTAGATCAGGCATCATATGCGCCACAATTTTATAACCAGAATCTTTGCCCAATTTAAAACTCTCGCACACAGCCTTTACGGTGTGACCACGATTTGTATCGCGCGCTACATCCTCATACACAGATTGTACGCCAATTTCCAAACGTGTGCAACCATAGTTCAACATGTCAGTAATATGACGCTTAAGACAATAATCTGGACGCGTTTCAATGGTAATACCAATGCATTTAGTGTGCGAAATCTCTGAATAACGTACAGCTTCCTTAAGATCACGACTGGTGTGTCCACTGAGTGCATCATGTAGTTTCATTATGAAGTTGTTGCGATACTTTTCATCCAAGCTCATAAAGGTGCCGCCCATTACAATAAATTCCACTTTATCTACTGAATGTCCAAGTTGCTTCAATTGTTCAACACGATGGCGCGTTTGTAGAAATGGATTGTAACGTGCACGTATAGCGCGCATAGAAGTTGGTTCATAACCGGTGTATGATTGGGTTGAATATTCGAAATCACTATCTGGCCCGCCCGGACAGTATACACATATGTTACCGGTCATATTAATGTGAGGACAGCGATGCGGCTTGCACATGACGGCTACTACAGCGATCTATAAATGCAATTTATATGCGGTAAATATAGTAAATTAACTGTATAGTCTTAAACTTACACCACTGGCTGTACGTATAGGTTTGGCCCGTAGTTTTGGCAACAAGACTTTCTTTGCTTCTTGTGGCACAGCGGCAATGATGTCTACTAGTCGTGGTGAGCTTTCCAATCCATACTTTGAGGAAATGCGTGCTTTTAGACGATTTAAATTTACATCTTTTTTTTCTTCATGTGCTTTCAGCAATTCCTGAATGATTTCACCAATGACTATAACACTGCGTTCTTCGCGACTCAAACCAACTCCTGAAAAGTTATCATACTTGGTTAGAAATCTTGGGAAAAATATTTTATAACTTACCCAACTTCTTTTTTGGCTTCATTGTGGTATTAATATAGTTAATAACAATTAAATTATGAATAAACTTTATTTGGTTTTTTACCACACAATTTCCAACTGCATATCACATTAACATAACAAGCAGAAATGTCAAATTACACACATGTTCCCTGGTGCGTTGCCAAAGACTCTCAACCGGTCAAATTCTGTTACAGCGAATTGCCAACTACCACAGCTTATGTGATTCGTATGAAAATTTTAGCGTAGGTCGATTTACTTTTGGCACTGCTGTTATTCATACAATTAAATTACAATCCTGTGTCATCAACAGCTGACGCCAGTCCCAAAATTAGTTTGTTTTCTGTGCGGTTGTTGTATATTTTATCGGCAAGAAGAATCGTAAAATTATTTAAAATATAAATAAACAAATTGTAAATATAATGGCAACGTGCCTCTCAAAACAGCAACTAGAACAACAAAAGATGTTGGAGCAACTTAATGAGAGCGATAATGACGATGATGAGGAGTTGGAAGAAGCAGCGAAAGAGGAGACTTTTTCATTTTCCGTAAGCCATATAAATATGCTAACAAATATTATTTAATAATATATTTTCATTGCTACAATGCTTATAGTGCAGCAGCGCTTGTTGGGTTTGTAACGGTTATTATGGACCTAATTTTGATGAGCCACTTTGCGGCACTTGTCACGCTTTTCTCTATAATACACAATCCGCTGAAGAAGAGTTGGAGACTACGATTTCAGATGACGAGGACTCCGGCAATGATGAGCCGCCATTTAAAGACAAACAAGAAGTAGACGAGGATGAAGACGATGACGATGATGATGTCGACGACGTTGTGGAAGATGATGTGGACGATGAGGAGGGTGTCGGCATGTTAGATGCAGTGGTGCGTAATGCACCTGTCAACGCAGCTCATGAAATGCAGGTCGATAACGTAGCACCGTTAGCCGCTGATAATGAACCGCGACGTTCGTTAGAACGCGATGGGGAACGTGGAAATATGGTGTTGTTGCCGATACATCGTCCACGTCCGCTGGCGCCACGTTCTTTGCCTGATTTTCTGGAATTATTGAGTGAAAGACGTGCAAATGCAGGTGAAATGGTGGCGCCGGTAGCAGCACCAAATAATATATTAATGTTGCCTGTTGAAATTATGGTAATAATATTCTCCTACCTGGACGACATGTCCATGTGGAAAGCGAGTGAAGTGTGTAAACAATGGCGCAGCATTTTAGAGCAGAACACATCACAAATGATGTGGATGCGCTACTTGAAAGAGCGCTGGCCACTCTTTCAGTGTATTGTTGATGTGCCGAATTGGCTGAAATTATATAGTGCATTAATGAATTCGTGCTTCTGTCGCACATGCTTGCTGCAGATGGCTTTGAAGTCGCCACCACGTGCACGTCAAAATGCGATACGTATGAATTTCCTACGCAACGATGCGCATCAATTGAATAGTCACACAACAGAGGGTATTGATGCGATACCGCTCGATAAACAAAATACATATTGGCAAGCGAGTATTTTGGGTCCGGCTGGCAGTCCTTATGAAGGTGGCAAGTTTTTTCTGTACATATTCTTTCCCGAACGGTAAGTTATTGTACATATACACATTTTTTCGTTTTAATTCATAATATTTTCCTTTTCTAATTAAACTTTTTTCTTTTCTAATTCAACTTTTGTTTAGTTATCCGATGATACCACCCACTGTGCGCTTTCTAACAAAGATTCTACATCCTAATGTGTCACGTCACGGTGACGTGGGCATTGATATTTTTCAACATAACTGGTCCCTAGCACTGAATGTTTCCAAAATTTTGTTATCAGTGCAAAGTTTGCTCACAGATCCATATACAGAGGTATATATGGGATAAGTGAAACCTCTAATATATTAAATTTATAAAATTTGGCTGTTAACAGGTCTGCATGGAACCGGAACTTGGCTACATGTATGAACACAATCGCGCACGTTTTGAGAACTTGGCGCGCTCATGGACTTGGAAGTATGCCATGTTTGAGTTGATGCCGCCCTCTTAAGTGGGCGTACAAACGCATACATTCACATTATTCGATTCTACCAAGCATACCAAGTTAATGTTTTGCTAGTTATGAAGCATTTATGAATTGTTTAATTTTATTTATTTTGAGCACAAAGAATTCCTTCAATTAAGTTTATTTATTTATTACAACATATGTACATACCTACATGTATACATATGTTTTTTCTTTGGTTGTGCCGTATATCCGTAACTGGATACATGACAAAAATAGTCTACAGTTATACTGGATTTTTACAAATTGATTTCATATATAAAATATATATAAAAAAATCTATTTATTTTCAGAATTTCTCATACTTATTTGTTGTTACATGAATTCGCTATATATTTGTTTTATAGCAAACTATTACTGACTCGATTAATTAAATTAGCAATAAATACGCCTAGAATTTTTACCAGCTAACATCAATCAAAACCACCACATAACTTTTGCACACTGTATTAATATTTAGTAATGCATATAAACATTATAATCCCCAAAAATATAACTATAAGTATTTAATAATGTAACGTAAATTTGTATGCACATGTGTAAACTATTGCTATCAATTTATAAAAACTATATTTGTAATGGAAAAAAATATATGGTATATACATACTTATGTATATAAATATATGTATTTAAAAAGAAAAAGTATTTCTAAGATTGCTAATAAAACCCTACATATGTATGTATGTATGTTTTCTTATTAGCAAGAAATAAAAGTAGTGATATAGTTGTGAGACTTACATAAGTACATACATGCATATATACAGACATAAATATTTAATTCTAAATAAACATTATTTTGTTCTAAAAACTTTTTGTCTTTTAATTTCAAGCCGATCGGCCCAGCCGATTCTACACCGTCTCTGAAAATATCGTTTCGAGAAAAACGCGTTTAAAGTTTTGGAAACCAATTACCTAAGTAAAATTCTAACACATATGCGCATACCTCCAAAACTACTTCCCGAGTCATCTTCAAATTTTTGGAGAATATTCTCATATATGTTGATGTAGTACAACGCAGACGAAGAAGCTTTAGTCAGAACACTGCATTCCGGACTATCATGGGATGCCTCTTGGTGTCTCCGGTCGAACACCTACACAGCGAGGCCCGTATGTTTTCGGTTAAGGAACACAAGCTTCTCCAAGCAGTTTCTGCTGGGATGTTTTCACAGAAGCCAACCCTGCAGTCGTTTGCTTGAAGCGGAACTGCCTCACATGTATATCAAGATTTCCTTCCTTGACTACGTCGACGACATTGAACAGTACGCCAACCAGACTTCGGACACAACAAATTTCAGACATGCACTGACCGCCATTCACAGTGGAGACATCAACGCCTTCACCGACTCTCTCTCATTGAATGGCATACTTGGAGTCAAAGCCCCACCCATTGCGGGCGAATAAATCGAGTTGCCACGAGAATCTAGAGTGACCCTTGCGCACTTTAGCTTTGGGTACTGTGCCACATTAAACTATCACTTATCCAGAATCGATCCATGACATACCAAATATATGTCCAGCATACATAGTCTCCGCATGACACTAACATTGCATGCCCAACGAACCCTACACATCTAACACCCTTCTCCCTATGGTCCGAGCCCGTCGAAACAGCACGGTTTCTGGATCTACCATTAGATGACTTCGATGACAATCAACCTGAACCTTACCACCCAAATAACCGCTACAATAACAACAATAACAGAACCACATATTCCACACTCGAACTTAAAACTATTTTGGTGTCACCGAAAGTATTGTCGAAATGGACCCACAATGAATTTGCCAAGACTGTCTACACAATTCTATATTGTTTAAATAATTTCGACAAGTGATCTATTTTTTAACGCGGAAAAAATTGAGTTTATTTTAGTTGGGTGCTTAGTGACGAGGTTAGATTTTGTGTTCAGCTTGCCGTTGTTATTATTAAAGTAGTTTATTGAAAATCGGATCGGAACCAGATTTTAATCCGGGAAAGAATTTACAACTCGACAGCATTCCTCTAAGATATTTGAGAACCACTACAACAACAACAACTACAACAAAAATATTAGTTAAGTAGAAGTCATGGAAACAAGAAAAGTTTAAGAATGGTAGAACTACAGGCAATGGAATATTAGACAGCTGATGTTGACCTCCACATTGATTAAGAAGTAACTAAGGGCACTATACTTGAGATCTTTGTTAGCTATTGGTGGAAATTACTCACAAGAATGCTAATGGACTATGTGTGGAAGATGTCAAGCGTCTGGTAACAAGACGTCGCGTCCACAGCTCTAGAGCTTCAGAAAATTCTGCGTTTTATGATATAGGCAGGTAGGATTCAATATAGCACCGATTGATATAAAAAATTCCTAAATATATGTAAAGCACGTCAGATTTAAAATTTTTACCTTAAAATATACAACTCGTTTTTGAGCTAATGATGTCCCATAATTTAAAGTAAAGAAATTCCAAAAAATCGCTTTTAGCAGCAGCATAAGATTTGTAAAGCTCATCAAAAAATTTTCTTCAATAAATTGATTGTTTCGTTGGCTGAATGGTTTGAAGCGCCATCTTGTTGAAACCAAAGGTTGTCTACGTCAATATCCTCCAATTCAGGCACTAAAGAGTCAACAATGATGGCTCTGTGGCGTTTCCCATTGACTGTAACATTATGGCCGTAAAGATGTAACGGCGTCTCAGCAATGGTTTGTGGATTATTATCATTATTTGGTAATAAATTTAGCATGTTTTGGAAATGTTGTTCCCGAGTAAGTGTATTCATTATGAAATGGCAAACCAAATTGAGTATAAATCAAGCGACAAAAAGTCAAAAAGATCACCTCCGAAAAAAGTGTAATTATATAATATTATGAGTAATTATTTTCAGTTTTTCCTTTTGTTCGAGAGCACATTACCTAATTTTTAGCTGCTTAAAAGCACAATTGGAGAAATCAGGCTCCATGAATACTTTAAAAGCGCACATTAAACTTTAAACTAACTTGTAAATAAGCAATTCTTGGGCAAATTCTCCACTCTATGGACAGACAACTGCAATAGTCTATTTTCGCAAGCTTCTCTTGAGGCGAATTTTTTGCCAACAAAATTATTCGCCATAGACAGGAATCTGTAGTAGTCATCTAGTATCAGGTCTGGACTATAAGGTCGATGTATATGAATCTACCAACCAAGCTCACGGAGTTTCTGGGTGCTTATGTGTGACCTGGCGTTGTTGTGATGAAACACAATTCTTTTTCTATTGGCCAATGATGGCTGCTTCTGGGCGATTGCTTCCTTCAAAAGGTACAATTGCTGACAGTACAGGTCCGATTTAGGAGAAAGGCCATAGTGGATCAAATAAAAATAGAACAATCTCTGCCAATCCCACCAAAAACATAGCAAACACTTCCTGACCTGACAAAAGCCTCCAATTAGTGAAATAATTTTATACCGTAAATATCAATCATTAGATGAATTGGTTGCAAGTGGAGCATACCTTTCTCTAGCAATATAGAAATAATATAGAATTCCTCCATTATAGCATATAACTGACATACAATCTGATCGACATAAATGAAGAACTTGTATGGAAAAATTTTTATTTGACAAAATATATTCACGAAATTTGTTATAGATTATTGTGCAAAGCAACGCTATATACTTCGAACGAATTGTTCAGATCGGCTAACTATAGAATATAGCTGCTTTACAAACGAAAAAAAAACGATCAAAATCAAGATAAATAACTTTTTATACCCTTTTATGCTATAAGAAATGCACCTGCGAAGGGTATTATAACTTCGGTGCTGTCTAAGTTAACGTTTTTTCTTACTTTCTATTAATTTTCATTTGTCACTCATATGCCATGTATTCCGACAATACTATAGAAGAAATATGTTATTTCTGTGAGTAATTTCTTTTAAATATTATATTATTATTTTTTTATTGATATAAATTAATGTTTTCATAAAAAAGTAAACAAATAAATATTTATTTATATATTCCTGTCATATTTGCATTACCACGACTGTTTCGTTGGACACCTGTGACATTTGTGTGGCTCCCTCAAAAGCTTTCGTCTTTACAGGCAACAACACAAACAGCTGGCAAGAGGTGAGTTACTCAATTGAGATGAAGAAAATTATACAAAACTCTCACGCTCCCAATGACACGCTTGCGTTTGTATGTATTTGTGTGTGAACTCAACAATTTGCACGCGCTCCCCTGGAAAAGTCCAGCATCAAGTGAAAAGCAACAGCGCCATTTGAGCGCTAACACAGCTAAACATACACACATATGGACGATATGCCACACGATGGGTGCCCATACAGTTAGCTTGGCGCTCAGCGAGTCAGTTCGAATTTGAATTTGCAACGGGTAGCAATGCGCGGAAGGTGATGCGTTCGAAACACACAAGCAAATATGTATAAAATAGGTTGATGAGCAAAAATACTAATACTTGAAAAGTAGGTGAAAATGTGTTTTCATATAAAAAAAATAAAAAAAAAAATCGCGAATAAAAAATGCATAGAGGAAAAGTAAAAACTAACGGTTCGCTAATAAATACATATCGAGGTATGCGCGAGTAGGTATGTATATGCGTGTGTGTGTGTGAAAAATATGTGTCTGGAAAAAGTGAATCGTCAATTTTGCCGTTACTTCGCAATTGCATAGTTGTTGCTGGCGACTAAACACACACATGCGTACAGTTATATGCACGAAAAGGTGAAAATCGCATTCGAACGTTTTCACCAAAACACACGAACCAAAACCAGCACGCACGCACACAGCGCGCAAGGTTGAAGCACGAACGGAAGCGGGCAACAAAAACAAAAAGTGTGAGTGTGTTACAAAAACAAAAGTACGAAGTGTACAAACGTTGTGACATTAAGTGGTGCAAAGCTCTCCACCGCCACCGGCATACACGAAGTTGCGCGAATATACACACGTCGTACATACGAGTCGCAGACGAAGCGAGCGTACGACTTGCCAGCGCGACAAGTGTAAATGCGAAGACGATTTAAGCAACGAGCGGTGTGCGCGCTTGTTTCTTTGTATGTGCACATTTTCTAAGCGCTTGCGTATGTATGTATCTAAATACATACAAATGCGTTAGTGTATGTGCTTGTGTGTGTGTGTTCGGTTGTAGTGTAGGTGTTTGTGCGGGCATTTAAGCATCCTGTGGCAACTGCTCGACTCAAGGATAAAAGCCTCAATGGCTGAAACAAGTGCGAATAAAACAACAACAACAATAACGAAAACGAAAACACCAACAACAACATATAAAAGCTAACAAATAATGGTTGCCAACGTTTAGGCGAAAAATTACAAAAACAAAAAGCTTGAAAATCAAATTCCTAATAAGAAGTGAGCGCAAATTGATTTTCAATTTCTAACGGCATTTCTAATAAAATGAAAACAACAAAAACAAGTATAAAAAAATAGTGTTAGGTGATGATTTTATTTGATGAAAATGAGCAATTTAAAGAATTTTGATGCACAAACATAATAAGTAATAAAAAATATACGCATTAATTGCTAAAAAATGAAATGAAAGCAAGGAAAACCGTTAACTTCGGCTGCACCGAAGCTATAATATTCCCCCCCTTCACAGGTACATTTTTTATAGCAAAAAAGGATATTAAAAGATCATTATCATAATTTTGATCGTTTAGCTTGTATGACGGCTATATGCTATAATGGTCCGATCGAAGGTTATAGCGTTGCCTTGGATAATAATCTACGTCAAATTTCATGAAGCTATCTCATCAAATAAAAAAGTTTTCTATACAAGAAATTGATTATGAGGTCAGTCGGACTGTTTGTATGATAGCTATATGCTATAGTTGACTGATCTCAACTATTTGTTCTCAGATTAAAGCGCTACTTTGAACAATAATTCATGCCAAATTTCCTGAAAACACCTTGTCAAATAAAACAGTTTTCCATACAAGATTTTATTTTGATATCGGTGGTTCTAATAAATGAGCAGCTTCTTGGAGAGAAAAGGACATGCACAAAATTTCAGATCGATACCCCAAAAATTTAGGTATTAGTTCGTATATACTGAGACGCTATGTTCAGTGTAAAATAATAATCAAAGTTTTATTATAAAATCTTTTCAAAATACGGAAAAAGTGTACTCAATTTATTTTATTAAAAAAAAAATATTTTATTAAAAAAAAATATTTTATTAATAAAAATTATGTAAAGCAAAACCACCTTAAGTTATTTTAAAATCGTTTTTTATCTACAAAAAGAATATACTTTTCCTCCAAATATCTTCCAACCAAAATCAATTAATTCAATTTAAACCCGCAAAAATCAATTTTCAAGTGTAGCTCCTCTGCTCCAAACATTAAAAAAAAAAAACGAAAAACAGCAAACTCTCAAGCGCACAGCTGTGTTGCTTTGCTCACATGTTTTCCTTACCACAACCTGTGTGCTTCCGCTCTGACGAACAGCTTATACGCGTCTGCATACATAACTCTAGCTTTGTGGCTCCTCGCCAACGGAATATTAACTCGCTCTGTTAACCCAATCCCACGCATGCAGTGGAGTGCTCTGCTCCGACTAAATCATCTGAAAAGCTGGCACTCACACATGCACACCTACGCATTTACATGCATAACAAAAAGCAAGCGTTTGTATGTGTATGTGTATTTGAATGCGAGTTCCTTAAAGGATATCAACTGGTAGAGTTTCATATTGAAGGTGTGGTGTCAGCGGTGCAGTGGGGTGTGTGGCGTGGTAGCTATGGTGAATATCATTACATACATACACACATACATGCTTATAAGTGTAGAAAGTTCTCAACTGGGTGAGAGCAGCGGCAACTATTCTCACCTATACACGCGCAAATGGCACTCAAATAAATACATTTCTTATTTCTCTCACCAAAATGCTCGTGTGCCTTTCGGCTATGCACAACTACATATTTACATATATCAAGTGTGTATATATATATCAATATATTATGGCTACAAATGTGTGTTTACGTGCATATATTGGCGAATTATTAATTGATGCATTAAGTTCAGAGTTCATATGTGTTTGAAAAATAGATGTGGTTTGGTCAAAGTTATTTCTGTACGTGCTGAGATTATTTATAAATTTATATTATTTTTACATCAGAAATATTCTTTGATTTAAATATGCATGAATTTAGCAAGTTTAGTTCTTTTATAGTAATATCGCTGGTATAAATTGTACATTCACTAAATCGAATCGAATAGGTATAAATAATAACTTGGAACAAAAAAAATCAAAAAATTGTAATTCTTTCTTTAAGGGAAAATAGCAATATCGTATACATTGTTTTCGAGTTCACTTTTTTATGTCTTATATCAAGTTTATTCAAAATATGTATATATGGTAACAATATAAATAATTTAAATAAATAAAAAACAATAATATTTGATTTTGTTTAAAATCTAAAAGAAAAGAATCTATGGTTTAAATCTTCATCTACTGATGAGATAATTTCGTTTCCAGGTAGATCACCTGAATGTCTGAAAAGGTGTAAAAAGGTAGTGAAGAGATAATTCTAACTCCTCATCTTCTAAATAACTACAATGGAGGTTTTTGACCTTCCCACTTGCTAGAATGATCACAACGAGCCTCTACAACTAGAGAGAAACACACCTTGTTGAGGGCTAAGAACTTAGTGGAGCACAAAATTTGCTCTTGAACGACTTTTTTCGGTTTTGTCATTTATTTTACTTATGAAATTTTCTTTTTTTCTTTTAATAACTCATTTTGTGCTTTATCATTTATTTTACTGATGTTATTTTCTTTTTTTCTTTTATTAACTCATTTTGAATGTAAAATTTATATAAGTATGTATGAAAGTTTTTCCAATATGCAGAACAGCAAAGACTTTGACAACGCAAATAATAAAATAATGAGAGTATCATGAAAATTCTAATTGTTTTACATATTGCATTAGTACGACTACTACAAAATTTATTATTGAAAGAATGAATTTCACTTTTATTATCCCAAAAATTTTATGGCTTATGGCCTTAAAATAACTTTAAATTTAAAATACATTTACTGCGCTAGGCTATGCAACCAATTAAGTATATTTCGAAATTGTATAAATAATTCTTGAAATTTAAATAATTTACAAAATATTTACCTATATTTAGAAGTTACGCATACGCCATGGCCGATTGGGGTACACCGTGACGTATGAGTAATAGTATATATAATTATATTTAAAAATTTTAAATTTTTAAAAAATCTGCAATATTCACCAAAAAACGATTTATTTCTACTTTAGTTATTAATTAAAGAAAAAAAAATTATTTTTCAAATTATTTTTTTACAAGGCAGACCGCACTGTAATTAAATTATTTTACTACAGAAGCCATTTGCGCGGCACAGTTATGGTCGATTAGATTTGCTGATTCTGCATTTTCATTTTAAATAGTTAAGAAGTGCTTGACGTTGAATGTTTAGCGTACCCAGAGAGATTTGAAAGCAACTTTTTCAGAGGTTTTGTGTCATATAGTAAATTATTTCGAAAATAAATGTATATTATTATTATTTTTAACGGTTGTACAAATGAATAAAAACTATAAAATTTATTGATAAACAAAAGCGTTTCTTATATTAAAATGAGACTAGTAAGATTTTTACGCAGGTCGACATCTGTCGTATATATTTGTAGATTGACCACATTATCTCATAGGATGAGTATGCGAACCAAATAAGAATAATATCAGTTATACAGAGGGTTTATAAATTATGAATATTTCGTATTTTAAATATGTTTTTTGGAGCTATTTAAACTTCTGCGACATCTAGCGGTTTATATAAGCCAAACTACCCTTGGCATACTTATAAAATAAATATATTGTTTAAATTGTGAAATAACAAAAATGCTTTACTGTTGTTGTAACTTTACCATACATACTGTTTATATATTTTATTAAATGAGTTATGTGTGTGCTCTCTGAGCACGGAATATGGCTTGTACTAAAATTCATCGAAAAAACCTCACCAAATTTTGAGCAGTTGTTTATAAATCTAGATTTTATAATTATAGAATAAAAAGTTTTTTTTTATATAAATAATTATAATTGTTTTTTGTAAAATATTGATATTTGGTAGGTTAGTAAGCAATATATTTTTGGACAATTTAAGTACTTAATGTATTTTTTTCATACAAAGATTCGGCTTTTCTACAAAAAATAAAAATTTTTAAAAATAAATTTTACCGAAAATAGCAAGCAAGCAAATTTAAAAGCATCCCGTGCTTATAAAAACATTTCACAATAATGAAATTTCATTTATAGGTGTATGCATGTGTATGTGTGTGTATGCGAATGCACAGAAATAAGAATGAAATGGTACTTTGTAAACAACACTTGAATTATCATTGTGCTGATTAATCAGCAGATTTAAATTATAACTGAGTAAATATATTATATACGATTAACTTTTGCGGTTTTGGGCGGATTTTTTTGCTATTGCAATTTTTCATGTGATGCTACATGTAGGAAATTACAGAGATGCGAAAAAAAAATTAAAACCTGCAGCTTGATTTAAAAAGAAAAATGAGAGCATACAAAAAGTATTGAAAATATTAAAAAAATAAACAAAAACAAATGCCAATGTTAATTAAAAATTACGCACGAGTTTATAATTGCAAAAAAAAAGTATAATAAATAAATAAATAGACACAACACATGTGGAAGTGCAATGAGTGATCGGTTCAATCAGTTAGAAATTTATAATAAGCAAAAATGAGTGAAATATTTAACGCGCACACACACACATAGGCAGCAGTTCGGTTTGTTGTTTTAAAAAAAATATATATTTTTTAATATTACCGTTAATCATAACAATAGCAAATCGTACAACATTGTAATATGAAAATTATAAATAATAAAACCTAAAAAAGAAGATAATAAAAAAAAAATCGCAACAATAACGAACGAGTATGCATTTGTAAAACGAATAATCCGACTTGAAATCCGCTTGAAATACACAAGGATAATTGAAGGATAACACTGTTGCTGTACAGTTTCGTTGTAAATTAGCACGCGCTGCTCACCTTCGCTATTTACTGCTTGGCAGCCGACAGTTCTCGGTGCGTAATCTGCACAATCTCCAGCATACAGCATTTATCAGCAGGCCTAAGCATCAACCTTCACATCAACCTCAACCTCAACAGCAAGCTCATCAGCAATCTCATCGTTCTTTGTCTGCTTGAGTTGTTGTTTAGCGCTTGAATGCCGCGACGGTTGTGTTTTGTGTGAAACGCTTTTGTTTTCCACATATTTACATATAAATACGTAGCGAGCAAGCAACACAAAAAAAAAATGCTATTGTACTTACTTGCCGCGATTCGGTGTGAATTTTGAGTGAAACAAAAAAGGCTTATGCCGAACAACTACAACAACAATTACAATAAAAACAGCTACGGCGCAACAATTGCAATTGCGTAAGAAATGCGTTGAGTGGGGATTAGAAAAAGGTGAGAGCGCAGACTAATCATTATTCATACGCAAATTTACTGATATTACATATTGCGATAAAAAAATGTTAATAACTTTATTATATAATATATTTTTATAGTTTTGTAATCTCTAAACATATATATCAGTACTCTTTAAGCATAGACTTCGGAAGTTAGATAAGCCCACTTAACTCAACTTACTATTTTTATCCTTCCAAACTTTAAATGAAAATTTTTTTAAAGAATTTTTAACTAATTAACAAAACCAACGTATAGTTTCGGAATTCATGTTCCAAAAAGTCTTTCAAAATATTTTTTTATGAAATATCAGATATTTGCCTTTGAAAGATAAATATAAATATACCCAAAGTAAAACCTGTTTTAGTCTAATAACTTATTTTGTGAAAACTCCTCAGATACAGATTAATTGTAGGAGGTCTAGGTCTCTCTCGATATTTTCTCCTTTATAGAAGTATCATGACTGAAGCTTTATGCGAATTACTCGTCTCTATTGGTAATTACCCGGAGAAAACGTTTTTCAAGAATATCCAACTGATTATTTAAAACACAATCCACAATAGAGATTTTCACGAACTAAGCTTTTGAGTACTAGCCCCTTAGTACACTTTCTTTTCCTTTCCTCCCGAGGCACAAGTGACGATCTAAAGTCTTCAGAGCAAGAAAAGAAAAAAAACATGATCCTTAGCCTTACACAATACAATTTGAACATATTATAGCCAGTGAGGCTTTAAGAGCCCGTATAACCCACAAAAATCAAAGTAGACCAAAAAAGACATGTACCATACTTCGATTTATGGCACAAACAGTCACCGACGCAAAACCGTGGACCGAATCAGCTGATAGGACTTATCTTATGATAGCGCAATGTAATTGAACAGTTACCACTGCTTCTACCGTTCGCTTCAACAGACCGTACGGTAGGATATCCGCGAAAATTGAATTTTTTCCGTGGAAACGAGTGAGCTGAGAGTGAGAGAGCAATCTCTTTCAACGGAGGGTTGCCAATCTCGATATTTTGTAGTAATTAAAAAATGAACTTGAATATATTTGAAATATTCTTAAAATAACTCAAAATTACAGTCGAATGCACTTATTTATAAACAGGTAAACTATATTCAATATTTGGAATTTAGTTTTGAGCTTTTACATTATGAAAAATTATAACTTAAAAACTAAATATGTGACTAACTAACTTTTAACAAATTTGGTTTGATACGGGCGGTAAGTACGGATGGGAGGAATGTCGGTGACTGTTTGTGCTATTAGTCTTTTTTAAGGAAAACTTTTTTTTATGAATAAACTAGTTGACATTATTACCAGTTCTGGTGTCTATTGAGGTTGAGCTGATAGTAAATAGTAAAGTCTCTAAATTAATTTTATCTCTCTTTCTCTGGTACTCTCTATCATATTATAGTCGTTTGGCGCCCAGGCACTAAATGTTTTAGGTCTACATTGGCAAACTTTACTTTTAAATACTTGTATATAAAAATATTGCATTACAATGGAATATGAATAATATTAACCACTCTATGTGTATATACAGGGTGTTTTTTGATATGTGATTTTCAAGAAGAAATAAAACGCATATAATTTAATGTTATGGTCAAGAATTTAGCCTTATTATAAAGATAGGGGTAGGCCATTATACTTTAAAAATGATATTGAACAAGTGACCACCAGAGCTGGCTCCAATAAACTCCAGCCGAGAGGACCCATTTTCGACCACTTTGTGCAGAAATCGGGGCCACATGCTAGCAATAACGCGCTGAATATTCTCAGCCAAGGCGTCAATCGTCTCTACTTCACATAACCCCACAAAGGATAGTCCAGCTGTGGTAAATCGTATGATCTTGGAAGCCACTTTCCTTCAATAAATTGATTGTTTCGTTGGTTGTATGGCATGTAGAAGCGTCTTGTTGGCACCACACGGTGTAACAGCGTTTCAATAATAGCTTGTGGATCCAAATGCGACAATTTTGTTTATTATCGTACCAATTCAACCAAAAGTGACCATCATCGGTGAACAAAATGGAATGGTGGCCAACTCGTTTTGTGCCCATTCATTAAATGTGTACCGCGCTTGATGATCGTTCGGCTTCAATACTTGCAGGAGTTGGATTTTGTAAGCCAGCAAATCAAGATGCTTCCACAAAATCTTCCATCAAGTTGATGGTCATAATTCCAATTCTAGCGCACGATGGCGGATGAACTCATTCGGGTAATTTTCGATACTCTGCTCCACAGCAGGAATAGCGTCTTCGGTGCGCACTATACGGCGTCTCCGAGCAAACGTGGTGCAAAACCGATCCACTGTTGTTCGAATTACCGACACAGCTGTTCGATTATGGCGACCGAATATAGAACGCAGCGCGAATCGAACAATTAAGTTCCCTAGTAAGTCTATTCATTATGACAGGGCAAACCAAACTGAGTTTAAATGAAGAAACAGCTATTAAAAACGTCAACTCCGAAAAAAGTATTGCCTCATTGTAAACCATATGTACGTCTAAAAAAACACCCTTTATAATAGAATTTTCTCCTACCACAATCCTCACAGACTTTTGTAATAGAGCCGTATGGACATTATTAACGAAGACACATGTAGAAAGTGCAGGGAAGTAGGCATGAGAGAGACGCTGGAACACCTCCTTTGGTGTATGTCCGGCCTTATCTAGAACTCGACTTAGATATCTAGAAGATCCGCAGTTCAAAGGACTAGATGAAGTAACAGAACTAGATATTAGGTCTCTATTAAAATTCGCAAAACGCATTGACGTCCTGCACGACGTAAACTTCAGCGTGACAGTCAGCCAGTTTAATCTAACCTAACCTTATAATAGATAGAACAGCAATAATTAATTATTCACATATTAATATGTAGAGCAGTATAAATTAAAAACGCATAAGCATTCTTTATTAATTTGTCATTACAGACAAACTCGTATAAACTCGATATTCATGATAAAAAATGCAACAAATTAAATAATGATCCTTAATTGACATTTAAAATCACAAACAGATGGTGAGATTTTTGGCTAGCAAGAAGAAGCAGCATTATGAATAATTCGCACAAACAACAACAATAAAAATATATTTATAAATAATAAATATAAAGTGTTTCAATAATGTATGAGTATTTTCAATCAGTGACGCTTGATGTTTGTGGAAGTGTGTCTCCACTACTACCATCACTACGACTACTATTGTCTACCACTGGCGCAGCGTATAGGTTGCGTGTAACCGCATTGCAATGGAAATAAAAGTTTTATTGACTCTGCAAATATACATATTTTATACATGAATAGACATATATATACTATATATATAACGAGTCTATATAATATTATATGTATGGAATTGTATGTGCAGTTAAATATGTATGATTTTTGTATCTATATGATTGCATCTATTTTATTCACAGAGTAATGTAAATATTTGAACAGTTATGTACCTATGTATGTAGTATGAACAATTATTGAGGTTTTCTTGCATACGAGAGCACATTATTTAATTTTTAAGCGCTTGAAGGCATAATTAGTGTGAGCAGTTTGCGGAAATTTAAAACGGTAAATTGAAATTTAGCTTAACTTTCAAATAAGCAATACTTTTAGTACTGATCCTACTACTATGACCTTCAAAATACTTTTAAATAAAGTATTATAAAATTCTTATAAATAGATATTCGCTTTGAATCCAAAATATTACAGTGCTTTATTGAGGATTGAAACCGAATGCGTTTTTGGCCCTTTGAGTCTGTATATGAAAGGTTAAGAAAGTTGAAGCACTTCTAATAATCAAAAGCAAAATAACTAAATAAATATGGTCCGAATATTATAAAAGAAATTCATTACTTTTTTTTTTGCATTAAAGGTTTTATTTAGCGAATTTAGTTCGGTTTGGTAAATTCTGGTTTTTTTGAATGTAATTTCAAAAAACTGGGACTGTCTATTTGCACCAGCTACTTTTCAGGCGATTTTCTCACCAACAAAATCATTCGCCATAGATACATATGTACAGGTAGGAATCTCTTTGTGACAAATCAGGACGATCAAATGATGTATAAAAACCTCCTAATTAAGCACCCCGAGATTTTTCACTCTATCGATTTATGTGGTCTGGCGTTGTCCTGATGGCACACAATACCTATCCTATTGCCTAAGCCTGGCCACTTCTGGGCGATTGCTCTATTTTGATGGTCTAATTGTTGAAAATACAGTTCCATATAAAAAGTTCGGTCGTATGGGAGCAGCACTTAGTTGATGTAAAGCGGAAAATTTTGTATTAGAATATTACTGTTTCAAAGTTATAGATTGGCTTGCTTACTGTAAAATATCAAGAGATCCCTTGCTATATACAAATACATATACATAATTTAGGTTCGGTTTAAATTGAAACTAAAGAGCTTGTTTACGTTGGATACTTATTTTTAGGGAAGCCCCCTTCAGGGGGCGTTTGTAAACAAAAAATCAACTTGCGAATTAACGGACACTCTAATATGTATATATAGAACTACGAGTATAACAAATTTCAACTTGCTACAAAATTTTACGGTAATTAAGGTAATTCATTTATTCAAAAAACAAAAAAGTATCGGACATGTGATGGAAAAATATTGTGATTACAATATGACCGCAATAATTACAGTAGAGACCATAAGTTGTTTGCGTTTATAATTAACCATATTTTAATTGCGGTTTAAATGAATCGAAATTGATTTGAAAGCGAAAAGCACAATGAAGGGTGATGGAAATTTTTAGTGTGCGCATTAATAAGCACACGTACAAACACCATTATACTACTACATACCTACACATATATGCAGAATTCTGTATATTCATTACTATGAACAAAAATAATTCTAATTGAGCAAATGAATACAGATTTAATTGAAGAAATTATTTTAAATATATACATGACGTCTACACTCAACCAACAAAATTGCCAATTAATGAATAGTTAGAAGAAACTAGCAATCAAAAATTGTATTACAAATACAAACAGCTCTAAGAATTATGATACCGAAGAAAACAATGAAATTTTTAAATATTTTAGAAAATAAATTTTTAGTATGGTATTTCGAAAATAACCTTAATGATTTGAACCCAATTTGGTATAAATAAAAGAAAATATAGGATATTAAATAACTTTTAGGACTCAAGGAAAGAAAATTAAATCAGGTAAGAAATGGAAAAATTGGGAATTCGAACTTTAAACATTTATTTAATAACTTCAGTTTCGACGACTTTCCTAAAACTTTAGTTATTTATTGAAAGGTTAAAAAGGACTATGGGATTCTATGTAACGTTCTATTGATTAATGATAACGGATTTTAAAATATAAACTAATTTACCAAAACGGAGGTGTGGCAGAATTCGACTGATTCAACAAATTTCAACAAACAGTTTTTGAGATGTGAAATTTCACTTAAAAATAGAATTTGCCACGCTTTTTGTCCAGTATTGTGTACCTAAATCAATCTTTATTTTTTTCTAGCACATTACATATTTAGAGCTACACCGTTATTTAATAAAATTTGAAATTAACATTATATGACCGATGGGCGTGGTTGTAAATGAATATAGCTAATTTTTAGTTCAAAAAAATACCATGACGATAAAGGTATTGTAGTATATTGGAATAACGGCATAACTTAATTACCGTTATATCGAAGGTGGGAGAGTTCATAATGGGATATAGTTAACTTTTGATTCGAAAAATGTATTTGCGATGGAATTCGTCTCATTATTCTGATAGCTCTAAATTTAGCGCCACGTGCAAGTTGGGCGTGATTATTATCGGATATAGTTAATTTAGTTCGAAAAATACAATAATGATATGAGATTTCAGCGATATTTTTAATATTCAGATTAACTTAACTCTATATTTATGTATATGAAAATTTTATATTGTTGCAAACAACCGTTAGTTAGTTAAAATCATTATGCAGCATATTGCCAGACTATAAATATATTTTGTTATTTTTGAAAAGAAATTAAACAAATTAAAGTGAAATAAAATAAAGCAAAGCATATTAGACGAAATGCCATAATAGACATCCATTTACGTATTTAAACTTTAAAACGTGATTTTTCCTGATTCGCCACTATTTTTACTGAATTGTAATTTCTTCGTCATATGGACAATTCCAATGAGAAACAAAAAAAACTATTTGGAAATTTTCAATTTCCACAAACTTTTGCAGGCGGCTATTGGCTGTATGCATTAAAAATCTTCCGTCTCAATAAGAGAAAGTAAACAAAGCACATATTAGGATGAGCCAAAAATTTAAATAATTTCGAGTTTGTGGGTTAAAATCAACCTATATGTAGAGAAAAAATATCCCGCAAGACAAGAATTTTAGCTTCGTTTTGAAAGGTGACGTAATTTTTAGCATTTTTGAGTCGAAAAAAATCCTTCTAAGAGAAATTTTTTGTGTGTAATTTAAATGAAAAACTCATCGGCAACTTTTAAAATTTAGCTAAAAATCGTGTCATGTAGGGATCTTTTTTTCTTTGCACGTTGGTTAATTTTAACCCATAATTTCGTTATGAATTTCTTGGCACACCCTAGCGCATATACTTGTATGTATCAAAGAAATTTGCTTTCATTGAAAATGTTTGCCTCCACTAAATGAGGGTACTAAAAAAATTTATAGACACATTTTACTTACCTCATAATACTTGATCTCTGCATCCGGAACGAAACAATGGCGTAATTTCTGAAATTTGTAAGCAAAAATTTAAAATATTTTCACTAAAATGTTTTTGAAACTGAGTAATAACTTTGTTTAATGTTTGATTTATTACAAATAAATGTAAAATTTTGGCTTATTTTCTCACGAAATACTTATAAAAGATTGGTAGCCCGAACAAAGTGCATTATACCATAAATTCATAAACACTTAGAGACAAAAACGCATACACATAACAAAACCGACAGCTAGTATAAATATATTATATGGGTCTATAGTAAATTTGTATTATTAGAAGGCTGTCTGCGGCATTGCCACACATTTCGAGAAAAAAAATACCGTTAAAGCATGGGAGACTATAAATTTCGTGCCGGCAATTGCTTAGTATTTACAGTTATTTAAATATATTTTATTGCCTCGTATTTTTTCGCTTAACTGCTCTCATTTATTTGCAAATAATTCGCATCTAAAATTCTTTGCAAATATTTGAAAAATCGCACTGTATTAAAATATGAAGTAAAATGCATTCAGAATTTTTCAATTATGAGCTCTGGAAATTATTACAAAATTTACTGACACTAAACTGCGACATTTGAAATGCGTAATAAATTATTTGTGTAGACATTTTCAAGTAAGCCTGCTAGTTCACTTTAAAATATGTGGAAAAGAATTATTTTTATTTAATGAAATATATAGTTCTGAAATGAAAGTAGTAGAAATGTATAAGCTCTCTCATAAAAGCCTACAAGTATTAGGCAAAATATAAGCGCATTAGCCGCTTAGTTGCATTTTGAAAAATGCAGAATTTTTATTTAAATTAAACAATGAATCAATTTACTGATACCAGAATTAAGTGCTCAATGAGAAAATGCCAAAATAAAGCTACATTCCATCAACTAAATAATATGTTCACGTACACTACACATATTTATATAATTTTTCTACGCAATCTATGTTAATATCACAGAACAAATAAGGCAACGACAAAATTGAAAAAAGGAGTGCTCTCTCAAACTAAAGCACTAATGAAAAAAGTGTACAAATAAGACTTCTGCTTATAAATTCTGGCAAAACAAATAAGGGAGCGCCAAGATATGTTCATTTTCACTTCATAGCATTAGGTTAGGTTAGGTTAAGAGGTCGAGAACGCCGGTCCGTTGTGGTACCTTAAACTTCTATACCTATAATATAATAGATCATAAGACCCTTTAAAATCGACAATGAGGCTTGAGCCTATCACAAATGTGTTGAGATGGCTAATGTCAGTTTCGGCTATGTCTTCTGGATCGCCGAAGGTAAAGCTGCCAAAATGTTACAACCTCAGTCTTGCAAAGGCTGGAAAATGGAAAAGAAAGTGCCAGGATGTTTTTACCTTACCTTCCTCCGTACAACTTTGACAAGTAGCGCCCGACAAGATTTATAATCTTACCGCATGAATACCTATTGAACAGTGTCCAATAAGAAGCCTTGCAATTGCGGCGAGATGAACTGATAGCATTAGGTGCTGACAAACAATATTTTATGAAGTGTTGCTATATTATATATATCTATAGTAGTTTGCGAAATACATGTAAACAATAAACCATGAATAGCTCGGCGACAAATGTTAAATGAGTTGATGTTCGCCGCAGAAGTTTTTACTTCTTAATCAACCTTCATACTCTTAATGTTTTTATAATCGTATTAATAAACTTTAAAAACTGCTCAACTGCAACTATTTTTTACAGTAATATGCTTTTTCTACTATAGCTAAGATACGAGTATCTATCAGTTTAATGGTTAAAAGTTTCTTTAAAAATTCGCCATTAGTTCGTCAAAGTTTGCATAAACCATTGTGTAAGTACTTCTTATTCGCTTCAGAGTGCCTATGTGCATGCGTATCAGTAATAATGCGAATCGATGGCAGTTCTGCGAAAAACCTATTTTGTATTTTAACCTTTTTATTTATTAATATAATATATTTACACACGAAAACATTTAATATCTTTTTTTTTTTTAATATGTAAAATTCATGAAATACACGATACTTCGATTGATCCACTGCAAAATATTTCTTATAAATCATATAAAACAAGCAATAACGTTAAATTCGGTTGCACCGAAGCTATAATTACAAACGATTTTATACAACAACTTAATTGAGATCGGTTAGATTGTATGGCAGCTATGAGGAGTGTTGCGATCTGACTTCTTCAGAGATTGCACCACTGCCTTAAACAATAAACCATTCTCAATTTTCGTGAAGATATCTCGGCAAATGAAAAAGTTTTCCATACAAGCACTTGATTCCGATCAACGATATCGACGGTTCCGACAAATGAGCAGATTCTTGTTGAAAAAAAGATGTGTGCAAAATTTCAGATCGATGTTTCAACAACTGAGGGACTAACATAGTTGGTAGACGGACAGACAGACGGACATGGCTAATTCGACTCAGCTCATCATGCTGATTATTTACATATAACTTAATACGGTCTCCTTCTGGGTATTACAAACTTCGGGGCAAACTTAATATACTTTTTTTTAAAGGTAGAAAAAGATCTGACACGAATTATTTTCAAGAGTCAATTTAGTCACTTTTATAGAGTTTGGCTCTGACTGGGAAAGTAACCGAGAAGTGTTAGAAAAATCGATTTTATAAGCGGGGTTCAGCATTCAATACCTTCGGGATCACATACTTCTGACATTTCATCTTCAAAACTAAGTTGATGTCAACTTCTCAAAAAGCAGAACTTGCTTTGAAGATAATAAAGAACTATACCTCTGCGATTGCCATCGATTGAATAATAATTGATTGAAATAGTATTTACTTTCAGTTATTATTCGCTTTATCTCGAATTTCTAACAAAGCTCAATAACGCGGATATGTAGCCGCCTACCTAGTTTATGAACGCAAACAAGAATAAAATATTTGAGGGATAAATATTAGGAATAAGAAAGAACAATTTTGATACTATTGCAGAGATCGAATGTCAAATATGTTTGTATGACAATCGCACAACAAATAAACATATTTCAGCCGTTCAAACATTAATGTCTGCCCACAAACTCTACTTTTTATAACGAATTAAGTGTCAGCTCTTTGTCTGTAATGGGGCCAAACATCGAACAAGAACATCCGAAATTTTATAAAATTTTCTAACAATAAATGCGTGAACTTTCTATGGAAACAAGACACGAGTGTATTATTTCTTGTATTCTCGTGATGTTCGACTCTTAGATAGTAACATGACAAGACTTTTACTTGTAAGTTTCTAAGACATAAAATTTAAATCTAACGTTATAAATCTCTCTGATTCCGCCTGAGTTAACTTTTGAGAAATCGAAATTAATTTTCAAAATATTAGTTTAGTTTCTGTATTTAGTTCAATTTAGCAATGAACTTCAAAATACTTAACATTGTGATACTTTATCACTAAGGCAATTGTGACGTCGTAGTTAGGTACGTTGCTGAAAACTTAGTTGACAGAAGTCTTTGGTTTAGTTCCACAAATATTAGACATTTTTTTCGTGAAAATACAAATACTCTCAAAACTATATAAAACTTTTTTAGAACATTCTTTTTGTGCTCTGTCGTTCCATTTTTTCAGAAGCTCTTCTATGTAGCACAAACTTCATACATACAGACAAGTATACCTACATAGTTAGGCATGTAATACGTATAGTCTATTTAACACTAAAGTGTGCTGCACTTTTACACTCTTCCACACTTTAGAGTGCATAATACCAAATGAGTGTATAGTAAAATCAGAGCTAATGGAATTATGTGGCCATAAGAACGAAGCTTGAAGAGCCCACAGGTGAGACGGAAGACTATAATTCCAGCACAGCAGAATATAAAGAACGTACAGCGAGCCACAGTATATATGTACATATGTACTATATATGTGTGTGTATATGTGTATGAATATGCTAATGGCTTCGTGAATGTGAGGTGAAGCTTAGGTTGGACGCTTGCTGCAGCTTTTGCGCTGCAAGTATCGGCTTTAGTAAATATGATGGTAAGAAAGCCAGCAAATGCTGAAAGAGAAGGGCAAGATAGTAGTAAGAGGATCACAGCTGCTGAGGATTTAAAGCGAGCAACCAAGGGTAAATTTGTAAAATTGCAACTCGAGTCAATTGCAATAAACTGAACTGAAAAGCTGTAGAAAGCGTTGCAGGCCGAGCCGAAGCAGGATGGTCGACGACGATAAATGAGCAAGCAACAGCTGTTGTCAGTTGGGATTTGTTGCAATGAAAAGTTACTGTTACTGTGCTGAAGAGTTCATGGGCAACAACGATTCACATGTGGGTGGAGAAATCAGTTTTGGTGGCTTGTAGGAGTTTTAGGAAAACCGGGAAAAATTTGGAAAATAAAATTAGAAATGGAATGTGTTCATTGCTTCAATAGAGTCATCCATCAAACTTTCATTGCAAAATAATGCTGTGCGCCTGCGTACATATTTGATGTTCGTAAAATTTTGTTGAGCAGCTGCTATTTTTCGACTCTTAATTTATGCTCTTTCATAGCAAAATGTTTCATAAGCTTAGATTATTAATCAACTCAGTCAGGAGATGTGTGTAAATTCAATTGACTGGTGTTTCTGAGTGATCTTAGTTGGCTCTCAATGATATTTCGTGACTTTTTCCTATTAGTGCCTATGAAATGGACATAGGTTCGAGATCAATGTTTACATTAGAATTTGTGACAATTGTACAAGTATGCAACAATATTATTAATTGCTGACTTGTTAACAGTATGATGGATATCAATATTACAACTCTTATTCTGTATGGCTACTAGCACCAATATAGTAGCTGCTAGGCGAAAGTACACCAAAATTCACATTATGCATGAAAATTAAGGTCCAAAAATCAACTCCAGTTTTGGAAACGCTATCGACCTATTATTTTATTATTTTTTTTAAATCAGAATAAAGATCATCGAAATAAAGCTGCAGAAATCTGATTGCCTAACCGCTCGATGCCAATTGACTGAGATCTCCCTATTTGGCCTGTTTATTTCAACGCTACTATTAGCTGGTGCA